TTCTTATTCCCCTCCCTCCCCTCTTCTTATTCCCCTCCCTCCCCTCTTCTTATTCCCCTCCTCCCTCTCTTATTCCCCCCTCCCCTCTTCTTACCCCCTCCCCTGTAGCGTGGCCGAGCTGCACTCCGGTCCGCGGTGGCCGGCCGGCCGGAGTGATAGGAAGGTGCACACTGAGTGTGCACTTCCTGTCAGTCCGGCCGGTTACAGGAAACAGAAACTCCGCGCGGAACAGGAGTTTCTGTTTCCTGTAACCGGCCGGACTGACAGGAAGTGCACACTCAGTGTGCTATCACTCCGGCCGGCCACCGCGGACCGGAGTGCAGCTCGGCCACGCTACAGGGGAGGGGAGGGGAGAAGCTGCAGCCGCCTGACCGCTCTTCACAGAGCGCTCAGGCGGCTGCAGTATTTAAAGGGCCAGCCCCAGGTGCCGACGGCCCACCGGGAAATTTCCCGGTATCCCGGTGGGCCAGTCCGGCCCTGATTAGAATGTAAAAAAAAAAAATTAAAATGCAGATTCTAGATTCAACACATTGTTATTGTCCTGTATTGACCTGTGAACAGTGGTAAATCGGTTTGTAAATTTTACCTTTAAAAAAAAAAAAAAAATGCAATAAAAACTAACAGTAAAAAAAGCCACTGGAGCATTTTAACTTTGCAACGTAAACACTACCATTCATGCAGAACAGCAATGTTTTCACTTGTAAAGTTAAAACTGCAAGGGCTTTATTGTCATGAATGCCACACATTTATACCTGGGTCCTCAACAGGGGGTCCTCAGGAGACCAATAACATTTTGCAACCTCTGGTGTCTCTACCAAACAAGTTATCTTTATTAATGGCCAGACACCTTGGCACCACACCACAATTTGCCCTAAAGGTATGGGTCCTTGAGCCTACGCCACCAAACCAGCGTCACCCCTGGCTTGCTGTCCCAGAACCCGATGTTCAGTCCGAAAAGCACCCAGACTGGAGGTGTTTGGCCTGAATAGTCTGGACTAGTTCTGACTCTGCCACGAGCATCCTCTGATCTGGTGCAGAGCTCCATTGCTCTGGGTGGAAAGTCATGATCATTTTGTGACAACTGCGCATTGAGCTCCCCGAAGTATTTGATGCCTCACCACTCCCTCCTAGTAGCACCTTGCTTGGTGGCCCTGGGACCAAGAGTGACCTCGTTGACGTCAGACCGGATTGCAGTGACTCAGTGATCAGATTCCGAGTTCAAGGGTGTTTTGTAGGTTGATCCCGGGCAGGCAGCCCGCGCATCTACGAGTTTCCCTGCCAGTCTCCAAGGTCATCTGAGTTGGGAGGCATGGTGTGAAGTGGGAATATGCATGATAATAGTCCTTTTAGTAAGGAGATATTGGCTGGGAGCCCTATCTAGTTCCTGGTTGACCAGGTGGTCTCGTCACAACTGCCTCCTAAACTTAGAATAGGAACAAGTACATTTCTCAAGAAGAGACTCCAGTGAACATGATGGCAGTTTGACAGTAGTATTGGCAGATTTTTTTCTTTTTCCATGGGTCGTTTCTTAATTTACAAAGTAATAGCCATATGACTAATAGCCATACTGGCAATTTGCCTACTAGAACAGAATCCCTGCATTGCAACTTTTTGCCAGTCTACAGACTCTGCAAACCACTACTTTTTTGTATCCATTCTGCTGATGTATGCAACTTGGGCAATAGCAAGGATAACTGCATGAAATCAAGGGCAGATAAAAATGAAAGTATACATTTTATTTTTTATAAAATGTTGAGACATAGGTCTTTGTTTTTAAAGGGACAGTATAGGGTCTGGAATAAACATGTATACCTGACCAGTGGTGTATCCTGGTTTTGTGCTGCCCTAGGCAGGACAAAACTCAGGTGCCCCACCTTCTAAATACACAGACAGACAGACACACACACACACACAATCACTCACATTAACACTTTTTTTTTTTTTTAACCTCCCCCTCCAGCCTCCTTACCTTTGGGAATGCTGGGGGGGGGGTTCCTCTTTCTCCCTGGTGGTCCAGTGGTTGCCGGGCGGGCAGCTGGCGAGGGAGCACTTCCCCATAGCTATCAGCTTACCTCCCTCGCACGCCGCAGAGTGAGGCTGGAAGCCGGGTTGATGATGACATATTCCGGCTCCCAGCCTCACTCTGCGGCGCGCGAGGGAGCTGAGCAGAGTGCTCAGGGGAAGAGCTCGCCCGCCAGCCCAGCATGTCAGTTTTGCCGCCCAAGGCAAATGCCTTGTTTGCCTTGCGGCTAATACGTCCCTGTACCTGACCATATAGTGTTAAGGCCACCCCACCCTCCTTGCCTTCCTAAATAAAAGAATCTTACTTGTATTAAAGTCTGCAGCTGCTACCTCCGCCCCTGATCTGCCTGTTGACATCATCAGATGTGGTGGTCTGAGCCAATCACAATGCTTTCCCATAGGATTGGCTGAGATTGTTAAGGAGGCAGATCAGGGTCAGAGCCAGCACAAGTCAGACACAGTCCTGGCCAATCAGCATCTCCTCAGAGATGCATTAAATCAATGCATCTCTATGGGGAAAGTTCAATGACTGCAGAGGGTGGAGACACAGAATGGTAGTACTGCACAGTGTGCAGCACTGCCCCCGAAAGCACCTCTAGTAGCCATCTGAGTAGTGAGCACAAGGCTGATAAGACAGTCTCTACTGCAAAAAGCCTGGAGGGAATGATTCTACACACCAGAAGAAATACAATGAGCTGTAGTAGTTCTGGTGACAATAGTGTCCCTTTAATTATAGTATTATTTTCATATTATATATCAGTTTTACTTTTTTTTTTTTTATTCTTTATTTTTGTTGTGCAAGCTTTACAACCTGCTTGGATAGCCACAACAGCTAGGCCAAGCGCATCTGTAACATGTATAACATCAGTATGGCATTTGTAATTACTGCACATTTTTAAGTGGTGATAGTCAAACAAAGTAAAACATCAGCTTGTATATTTATGAGGCCGCTACAGCTAGGACAAGCGTATCTGTAACATGTATAACGTCAGTATGGCATTTGTAATTACTACACATTTTTTAAGTGTTGATAGTCAAACATAAAGTAAAACATTAGCTTGTAAGCTTATGAAAGAGATTTGTCCGGGAGGTCGGAGACAAGTGTTTAGTAGTGGTAGGCGGTGTTGGTCCGCCGCGGGCAGACTGGCATACGTAAGTGACACAGCCTAAATATACTTGGTGTATTAGGGTGTCCTAACACTTGGTACGTGTTTGTAGAGGCTGGGTAATATTAAAGTGAGGGACAGTGTATATGCGCTGGAGGCACTTAAGAAACATGAGTAAATTAAACATATTGCTGCTTCCCTTAAGAGAGTCCAGGATTGCATCGCTTGGAAAAAAATAAATAAAAAATATAGAGACAAAGATTAACGGCATAAGAAAGGCAGGATATCGTCTCTTTTGTGTGCCGCTAGTAGGCCGTATCCCATATCTCCTCATAGGGTTAGGGTTTGGCCTTTGAGTCCCTCAGGCCCTGCTTAACCTATGCCGTCCAGGGTGTAAGCATAGTCCCGTACCCAGGAGGGATGCTGCCGGCTTTCCCAGCCTACAGTGGCTTGGTAGGGTGGGCCTCTCTGTATACTTGGGTTTGCCCCTGTTATCTCGATGAGAGTCTGTGTCCTGGTGTGTTTCCGTCTTCGCTGTTGCTGACCGGCAGGCATGGGCTGGATCAGAGTGGTGTTTGGTTCGGAGCTCGTGGGGCGCTCCCTCAGGTGCCATCTGCTTGGTTGCAGTCTCCCTTTGCGGTTTGATCTGTAGCAGGGGGATCTCGCTGTAGCATCGTGTGTCTTTAGCCGGTATCTGCGGGCTCCAGGGTGACGGGTGAGTAGGCTAATGCGCCTCGGTATGGATACTTCCAGGTTCCAGGCAGCTGCCCTCTTGCTCCTTTTGCTGCCTGACGGATCTCTGGTCCCCTGTCTTTGGTGGGTTCCCGCTGGCTCAGTTTTTCCGTGTGGTCCAATGTTAGAGGTTTCTGCATGGTCTTCCTTTTGGGTATGCTTGTGAGATTGCGCGGCAGGTGTCAAGCCCTTTCTCTGGGGTTTTTGGGGACAGAAGAGCTACCATCTTCTCCCAGAAGGCTTGACAGAAAGCTTTGTCCAGTCGATTCTCTGCCTCCACCTGCTCGCCTTGAGTGCTGGTTGAGCACATTGTCTCCGGGGGAGGGAACGTGGGCCTCGTTTCGACCTGTCCTCTGTGTGTCAGCGGGGGAGCGGCCGTCTCCCTCACGCCGATCTCGCGTGTAGGCCCTGCAGGAGGAGTTGCACTGTAAAGGTCGCTTGTGTTGCACCATCCTGTGCCTCTCCCTGTCACCTTTCGCCTGGTGGCCTTTTTGAGCCGATTAGGTCCCTTTTTTATGGCTGGAAACCGGAGCTGCACAGATTAGCGTCTTCTCGCTTCAGCGGTTAGGCCCCGCCCCCCGTTTTACATGTTTTTGATAATTGAATTTCACTAATCCATTCACATGTTCTTGTTCTGACAGAGGTTTCTGTAAGATTATTTGACACTGTTTCTATGTAGAAGACATCACAGGCACTTGTATTTGCAATTCTCAAAGCTGTGAGTTTGTGTCTGCAGATGAAACGTGCCTCTTCATAACAAATGTTATAATAAACATTACAGAATTTAGAAACTGATCTTAATGCCATTGTCATTCTGCAACTCTGTCTAGACCTCTTAATTGATGTTTAAGAACAGGTTATAACACAACTTCAGTGATGCAAAACCTTTAAAGTACCAGTTTAATTATACAAAATGCAACCAAATTGGAGGTTCTGTGCGTGCAAAGAACCCAAATACCTGCATGAGTGGGGTGGAAACGAAAGAAAAACTTAGGTAAAACCTAGCAGGACACAAAGCGTTTCACATCTCCGATGCTTTCCCACCACAGGTCCAATGAATCACCCATAGTACATTTAAATGAGTTGAGGGAGAAGAGAGACACACAAACCTCCTCAATACTGACACACTTTGGGTGCGCCCTGTCAGAATATTTATATCAACAGACATTTTGTGCTAAAAAGAAATTAAAAGTGTATATTGCCAAAGTCACTCAGAACAAAGCGGACTCCATTTTTGCTATCTTCAGGATAACAGAGACATAGTTTCTTCTTACTTTCACTAACCGCTGAGGAATGTATTACATAAACACAGACACTAGTGACAGAGAAGACTAAGTAACTAATTTTACTTTCTAAATTTTACAAGGTTCCATTGTAAAATAAGGGGTGAAATTGAGTTTAGAACTGTCAATTTTACAAGTTACGATCAAAGTAGTTGCCACAAAGACTGGGACAAACGCTTTGAACTGACAGCAAATCTAAGTTATGGTAGTCATTTTAGATAAGCCAAATGACGTCAAAATCGTCATCAGGAAAAGTTAACTCTTTCCTGGATAGGAAGGTTTCGTTAGACAAGACTGCCCTCTAAGGATCAAATACCTAAATTGCGATCCATAGATTGGACACACCTACGGCTTCCTACTGGTTTATCAACTAATGACGTACAAAGAGTCTGGCCCTTTAAAAGTAAGGACAAAGGGAAAAGTGGGGAATACAGAGAGACGAATTGAAGTTTGGGGGATTCCGATTCGGACATGCAGAGAGAGAGACTCAGAAACAATGAGACTAACACTCTACTCTTAAAACTCTTAACACTTAGAATTATAATTTTCTCTATCACTCACGCACTTCCATACAACCAATCAAGTTTCTGGGACTACCTACTCATCTGATGAGAATATCTACATAACTGGTAATTATGCTGGTTTTATTTAATTAATTTAAATTAATTAAAATTTACTAATAGCATGATATATGACTGGATAAATCACGGTCAGATTTCAATGTTTAGAAATCTTAGTTAACTAAAGAATATATAGTTATAAACATTCCATTCTGCAGGTGGAATTAAGAAGAATTATATATTAATGTGATAGTATCACGTGTTAGCATGCCGCTGTTTTTATCCAGGTGTATTGATTTGCTCTAAATAAGATAAGATATCTTTTTAGGCAAATTAAAATTCGGATTATAGAATCTGGTAGATTATTTTTATTGGATGGTTCCAGGAAATGAATAATGAGCTGGTTTAAATGTTATTCTAATTGAAAATCACAGGAGAATAGGATACTATATGCCTAGGAGGATCTAGCCAGCATTGAAAGGGTTATTCAGTTGATCTGTTAGGCAAGGTTTTATGGCTCTTCGCTGTGAAAAGCTTTACTTTCTGTGTCTGTAAAGTACCCTCATAAATCTTAAGTGACAGAAAATGCTGTTAGCCTTGTAACATGTATAGCTATTCCATTGTATTGCATATTTATGTTGTACTAAATATTCACTGATTATCATGCATGCTGCCTAATATTATTGTTAATTATTGGTCATAATAAATAAATCTATTTTTATAACACATTGTGATCATTAATTGTATGGAATACTTTTCACTTACATGATAAACTATCTCTAAGATCTAAGAGAATTGAAATAGTGGGCAATTCTCGACTGCTTAATATTATCATCCCATAAATATCCCCACAGCCCTCTTCCAAAAGCACACATTTTTCTGGTACTTTTGTGGATTTGCATCACTAAAGCGTTGCTTATTGAAAGTGTGGTCCACTTTAATTTTCTTTTGGCTGCACCTCTTAAGTGTCCAGTTTCAGATTTCCATTGAATAAAAGATTGTTTTAAGTGGAATGATGGTTTACACAAAAAAAACAAACACCACAATGTGAGAAGGGAGGGAAAAACAGGAAAACGAAAGTGAAAACTTATGAGCAGAAAAGTCTTGGGATCTTTGAATTTGTAGTTTGAGGTTTATTTTTTTTCTTCCCTTAACCCCTTAAGGACACAGCTTCAGAAGCTAGTCTTACGCTCAGGGCCGGACTGAGGATTCCAAAGCAGCCATGGAAAAATAAATCTATGCCAGCCCCATAAGTCATTGCGCCATATATAGTCGCATGTAATATGTAAGGCTATGTCTTGCCACCCCAGATGATTGATTGATAGATCAATCAATATATATTGCTTTTTCCAACATAAAATATTGGTCCTTTCAGAGTAAAATTTTTAATTATACAGTAAGCATACTCACATGCAGACACAGACAATCACACTGACACAAGCTGATTGATACACAGCCTCATAGACAAACAAACAATCTCACTGATATACATAAGGTCATTGACATAAAAACACAAGCTCACTCAGTAGCAGGTGAACACACATGCACACGCAAACAAGCCCACTCACTAACAGGCACGCACACAGCTTAATGTAATGGCTCTGGTGTCTATAGCCTGTCCCTGCAGACTTTTCAATGTAAACACTGACTTTTTAGAGAAAAGGCAGAGTTTACATTGCTTCCTAGTGACAGACACTCAGACGGTCACTAGAGGTGCTTCCTGTGTCAGTGCGGATTGGCTGAGATCATCAAGCTTGATGATCTCAGCCATAGAGGCAGGGCCAGTCGAGGGGAGACCAGCACGACGTGGGGGAAAACCAAGGTGAGTAAAAACACACACACATACACACACACATACATATATACACACACACACCCCATGACAGACAGAAACACACAACGTGACAGACCGTGACACACAGAGACTGTGACAGACACACACCATGACACAGACCGTGACAGACAGACAGACACACATATACAATGACACAGACACACAAATGACACAAACACACATAATTGCTACCTGTGTGCTGGCGGCCGCATGGGGGGAGCTGGCTCTTCTGGCGGCCGCAGGGGAAGCTGGCTGTTCTGTCTCTGCTCCCCCGCCGCAGGGCGCCGCTCAATGAGACCAGGGCCAGAATATGACGTCATATTCCGGCCCCAGTCTCTTTGTAGCGCGCTGGGGTGGGGGAGCACAGACAGAGCAGCCAGCTCCCCCTGCGGCCGCCAAAAGAGCTCCCACTGCGGCCGCAGGTGAGCCAGCTGCCTGCCTGGCCCCAGGTGCAGACGGCCCACCGGGCAATTTCCCGGTGGGCCAATACGGCCCTGCTTACGCTTAAAGACATAAGCCAATTTTGCATTTTTTTCGGTTTGCATTCAAACGCAATTTGCATCTGTCATTTATTGCACCAACACATAATATATATCGTTTTTTTAGAAGGCAAAAAAGGGCTTTAATTTGATGTCACATCTACAGATACATTCTCATTATTAAAAAAAATGCCAAAAGAAATGAAGTTTATTTTTTTTCTTTTCACAGTTTTGGCAATAATAGTGTGTGCATAATGTGTCCAGTTTAGAAAAAGTAATTTAAAATAAACTCATGTATGTGTCTTGATTTATAGAGTACATCATATGTATAGGATTTCAGCTTATTTTGAAAGTTACAGGTCACAAAATACAAGGACTAAAACTTTCAATTTGCAACAATTTTAGAAGTTTGTATGTTTGTCTTGTAGGTTTAGTAGCCATCACAGAAAAAAAGAATTGCCACACAAAAGTATATATGTCTATAAAGTAGACATCACAAACTATTTACCTGAGGTTAGTTTGACACTTTTTACGTAGCCATTTTATCGCCAATCTCTGCTAAATATTGGAGTAAAATTGTGTTTTTTTCTTTATTTTGGCATATACACATATAACATATTACATTTTTGTAATGTGTTTTTCGTAAAGCTGGTGTGTGCTATTCCTGCACAGAACCCCATATTGTGTTCAACTACATCTGCTGAGTACATAACGATACCCCCCATTGTATGCCTTTGGCACTTTTCTGTAAAGCCACAATGCCGTATAAGAGACAAGGCTATTTCAGTTTCTATAGTTAGAATTTTGTAGATGGATTTGACAGGCCTGTCTCATTTTAGGGTATTATAGCAGTGTGACTGTTCAAATAACCCCACAAGGGGCTTTCATTTGATAATGCAGACACCCCAGGGTATCTTATATGGTGTATATTGTGCCTTAACTTGTCATCATTTTTTCACCAATTTAGGTCAATGTTTGTGGTGAGGGGGCGAGTACTTCTTACACCTATGTCATAAAAATCACCAAATTATGCTCAGTTACATCTTCTAAATAAAACCATATGCCCAATGTATGACCTAGCCACTATTTTGTGAAGTTACAGTGCTGTAAAAGAGACGTGACAAGTTCAGGTTTTTAAGTGTGAATTTTCATGGAGAGTTTTGATGCATCCGTGTCCCACTTTGGAGCACTTGAGCAGGCTACATATTACAACTACACCATAAAAGCATACTATTTCTTAAAGACGACATCCCAGGGTATTTCAAAAGGTAAATTATGAACCATTAAAGTAATTCAAAACCATTAACCCCTAACTAGCAGTAAACAGCACTAACAGTAAATTCCCCAATTCCCCATAACTCCCACCCACCCCAGCTAGCAAAATATATAATTTTAAAATATTTGAATTAATGAAATAAATTGAACCCCTGAGCGTTAAAAAAAATAAAAAAAAATAAAAAAATAAAAAAATCAGATCACAGTATTATATTGTGATCTGTATTCTAATCACTGCAGGTAGTGATTAACTGGCAGGGAAGAGGTTTATTTTTATTAGGACTGGTTAAAAAAAAGTTTTTAAAGTTGTTAAAAAATGTTTTAATAACGTTTAAAACAAAAAAGGGTAAAAAAAATACCAACACCCTTTACCCTTTTTTGTTTTAAACGTTATTAAAACATTTTTTAACAACTTTAAAAACTTTTTTTTAACATTAACCCCTAGCTAACCTAACACCAAATTCCCCAATATCTTCCACCCACCCACCCAAGCTAGCTAAATATATCATTTTAATATATTTAAATTAATTAAATAAAATTAACCACTGAGGGTTACAAAAAAATTAAAGTGGACCCACAGGGGTTAAAAAAAAAAAAAATCAAAAAAATCAGATCACAGTAAAATGTAGTCCCTGCCAATTGAGCACTGTAGTCAGTGATCAATTGGCAGGGAAGGGGTTATTTATTTTATTTAAAATGGGGTGGAGATTTGAAATTAATTTTTTTTTTTTTTTTTAAACAGGGAGAAGAACATCACTGATCAGTCTCTCTGCATTTCACACACACAAACATGGAAGAGCAGGGATGCGGATCAGATGTACCTGCAACCCATGTGCTCGCTCTGACAGCCTGTCCGAGCGATCACTGATGCAGGGACAGCCAATCAGGTGCTCCCGTCTGCCTCAAATACAGAGGCAGACCGGAGGAGCGTTAACCCCGTGATCTGGGGTCAACATTAGCACATGACGGACCCGGTTTGTCATCTGGCGTTAACTGCTTTCCCTCCATGACTGACCAGGTCCGTCATTCGTCACAAAGGGGTTAATGACAAAAACTATATGGCAGCACGCTGTAAAAGACTCAGTTTGGGATTATTTAAACGAAGTTCCTTATGTAAGGGTAAGACATATGCGTTCAAAAACTGAAAAAAATGCAACAAGGACTTGCATGAGACGGTTAAATGTTATTCTAAAAAACTACCAGAGAATAAATCTTAACGTAGGAAACCGTGATTTACATTATAGTCTTACTAGCTATTTAAATCAAACCCACCCTAATTATAGATGCAACCATTTTTTAATAATGTTCAACATATATCTAGTTAACTTATTTCACTCTCATTCCTGAGCATTCACCATATGAGTTAAGAATTCAAATAAATTTTTAGCAAATTCCATCCATGTTTTTGCACAAATTAGTAATGACAGCGAAAAATCTTACATAACTAATAAGGAAATCCCTAGAATTTAGGAGGCAGGCAAAATTTGCCTTAACATGACAACCTATAAATTGTCCAAAGTCAAAATAAAGTTCCATCAGCAGCTCCACACACTCTGGTCAGTTTAAACATACCTCCCCCCCTCCCCTTCTGCTTACCTCTGTTAGCACAATCAGTAGCTCTGTCATAGGCTGACTTCCAAATGATAAAGTAAGAGCACTATCATATGAGGAAGGGACATATCACTTGCTACCAAAGATAAATCAGGACAGCATAAAGGTGTATGGTAAATTGTTACTGTATAACACAAAGCAACCCTTATTTGATATTCAAGACATTTTCAATTTAGCTTGGTAAATGAAGTAACCCCATTCAATAGTGTATGTGTGGCAATTGAGCATTTTGAATAAATACAGCATTACAACAAAACTCTTTACTATGATCAGCGAGTCTAGGTCAATAATTATTTTTCCAATATTAAATATAAAAATATTTAGGTTTATTCATAAATTTACATCATCCAGATCTAAGCCAATGGGAAATGTTCAAAGTACCAAGAATAAAGAGGAAGGGGAAAAACAAAAAAACAAACAAAAAAAAACAAAACAGAACATGTGATCTTGTTAAATTATACAACACTTTATACAAAGAAACACATTAAATAACCAAGCAAAAATATACACAAATATATATATATCTTTTAGAAGATAAATTCACATCGGTTATTATAAAGCTTTTTTTTGTAATTTTAATGTTTAATCTTCAAAATCTAGGACTAAAATATCTGCTTTTTAAACTCTCCAGAGGGACAAGTGTGACAACAAAATTGCTGGTCTACCTGGCCCTCAGGAGTATGAAATAAGAATGTACTGAAAAAGGCCACCTGTAAATGTATGGGCAGCCACAAAGCAATCAGTTTAACTTTGTGGGCTGTGTATTCAAGTTTTGGAGATCAAGCATTTAACAGATAGTGATATATACTATGAGGGTGACTAACTGCAATAGGGTCGGCCTGATGATTGTATGTATAATACAAAATCAGTCTTAAGATGTATAGGTAAACCATCTTTAAGACATAATTTATCCAGCTAATTTAAAGGGTCTCTGTAAATCCCAACCCTCCCTAAAAAAATGAGAATTTCATAAAAATAAAATCTTTATGAAACACTCACATTGACTGTGTTACAGTCAAAATATATACTTAGAAAGTAGGGACTACTTTAGCTTCGTATATTCCACATGCCAGACAAAACTTGGCAAAAAGCAGAGGGTACCGTCAAGTGTTGCTTTTCCCCTTGCTGTCACTATGGACAGGGAAAAAGGCATTGTCTGTGGAGGATCCTGCGGTCTTGTGGGATTCTCCATAGATAGTTGTACTCTCCTGCATAGCAGGAAGAATATGGTAGTGGCTGCAAAGTCACGTTCAGATAAGTAAAACTCACCTACCCCTGCATTCTGCAGCCACCAGACACCAAGCGCAGCAGTCACCATCTGGGGTTTTTGCAAAATATGTAAATATCTCAGATGATGACAGATCCGTTTTGTCTCTTAAAAGACTCCGAATCATAAAACTTGAGGCAAACTCTTCCATTGGAAAATCCAGGATTTCAGACTCTGGTGCTTGGAAGGCAATTCTTTTGCTTAAAAGGGACACTCAAGGCACCCAGACCACTTCTGTCCATTGGTCTGGGTGCCAACTCCCACTACTCTTAACCCTGCAACTGTAATTATTGCAGTTTTTTTTATAAACTGCAATAATTACATTGCAGGGTTAACTCCACCTCTAGTGGCTGTCTAGTAGACAGCCACTAGAGGGCACTTCCTTGTCCACAGCACAGAAAACCTATGCTAGAGCGTTGCTGGACGTCCTCACATTGTGTGAGGACCTCCAGCGTCGCTCATTTCCCCATAGGAAAGCACTGAAATGCATTTTCAATGCTTTCCTATGGGGAGCACTAATGCGCGTCATTGCTGCGCATTAGGTCTCCCCGGCCGGTGGTTGGGATCAGTCTCGCCCACCGGCCGACGCAATCAGAGGGAGGAGCGGCGCGGAGGAAGAAGCAGCGATGTGGGACATCGGCGCTGCCTTTGGTAAGTTACTGAAGGGGTTTTCATCCCTTCAGCAACCGGGGATTGGGGGGTGGGAGGGTGAGGGGTCTGCAGTGCCAGGAAAACGGATTGTTTTCCTGGCACTGGAGTTTCCCTTTAATGGGCCAATTGTCACAAGAGTCCAAAGAGATTATGAATGCACAGTGCAGAGGATGACAAAGTCAAAGAAAAGTCACCAACAGAATTGAAAGCATATGTCCTAAAGAAATAGTGTTCCTTTAATAAGCTTTCTATGAACAACATTTCTAAAATCCCCATGCATGCCAATTATGCAATACATTTTTAAGGGAGAGGGGGGTGTATTATACTGGTTTGACAATCTATTCTTGCCCTGAACAAACATTACAAACAGAAGAAAATGTTGTGGGTAGCCCATGGAGTATTACAGTATTTGAAATTAAATCTATATACACCAAGAAGAATGATTAACTGCTAAACCTGGAATGCGTATAAACAAAAGACTAAAGAAGATTTGCCCTTTGGATATTGTTCATTCAAAACAATATATGTTCATTTAAAACAAAGGCTTCAATTATTTCATCCCATATTTGTCAGTTGGAGATAAAAACAGTTTCGAGTTTCAGCACCAGATTAAAAATGTTCCTAGGGAGAGATCAGAAAGAGGGATCTCCACTTTTTCTCTTCCATAGAATACCAAGAATCAGAACTATTAAGTGGCGTGTATAAATAGGTTTTGTAAACATGTAAACAAGCTTTTCTAACAATCTATACTTGCAGAAGAGAAAAACGCTTAGTTGGATGTTAAGAGCCAAGCCATTGGCATATGGCAAAGTAAAAACAAAAACGAAAAAACAACTAATACTTTGGCTTTCTTTAAAAGAGCAAAATATAAATAAAAACAAAAAACAAACCACCCCCCAAATCTCCCAAACTTAAACACATTTGCTTATATATGACAGGCAGCAAACCTGGGTCAAACAAGTATGTGTTAAACGCCCTAAAGGCTTGTTTAAACATCTGTGTCAAACACAACCCTGTAATGTGGAGTTATTTTTTAACAGGAGGCCAGCACTCAAGGGGTTAAACAAAGCTCATACATACTCTGATTGTCTTAAAACACAATCAGACTGAATATGCTGTTGGCCAAAAAAAAAAAAAAAAAAAAAACAGCCTTAGAGCTGTCTTGTCTATAAAGAAGGCAGTGATAGACATGCCCAGTTGGTGGCATCAGTTAGTTTTGCCACTGAAGGCTCGATGCTTGCCCTGCCAGAAGACTGGTAGCTGTCCCTGCTGACTAAAGGGCGGCCAGTTGGTCCTGCAGGTCAAAAGGAATGAGACCATATACAGAAGAGGTCACTTAAAGAGTCTCTCAAACACTGTCATACATTTGTGTCCTGTAGAAGAGGCTCTTTTCCCTCCCCAGGAGCTGGAGGACTGTGTGGGTGTCCGGTACCATGATGCTTCTTCCAGTTGTTGCTTCGGGCATTCAGATTGGTGTGTTCTGGAATAAATAATGCTACAAGCAGAGCCAGCAACACAGAGCATGCACCAAACAGAAAGGGAGGCCCAGGGATAATAGAATTCTGCAGAGAAAGACAGTTGAAAAAAAAAAAAAAAAAAAATCAGTTGGAATTGTACCTGGCCTTAATCCCCAAAGTAATTACGCTATAAATGAAAACTGTGCAATACTTTTTTTAGATCCAGCCTTTCAAACCCATTTCTATCAGGAATAATATATCAAAAAGAGCTATTAATTAAACCCAACAAGCAAGTAAGGAAACAAGTATTTGTAGAACGGCAAAAATATATATATATATGATTGAAGTAACACCCTTGGCTCAATAAAATTATGCGGGTTATAGTCACTATGTGCAGTCTTACCTTGAGGAAGATGTCCCCCTGACTCCAAACTTTATAGAGAGGAAGTTGATATGGAGTAGGGAAGTCCCTTTCAATTTGGATTTTACAATAAAACTAGAAAAGCTACAATTTCTGGGGAAATTGTGTGAAGTGTTCTTTCCTCCACCAGTAGTCTACAACTGGAGTGGGCGGAGTAACTGTTATCATTTATATAGCACATTTAATTGCAACGTTGTTGCACAGTTACATTAAACCATACATTTATAAAACATTAGCAGGTGTTCAAAAGGCCCTGTCTATGACATCACTTGCTGCTGCAGCTTGACACAGGTCAGAGTATTTTGGTGGTTGCCATCTTCAAACGGTCGTATCTTAAAAACCATAACTCCTACAGTGAAGAGCTTTATATTGTGAGAATCACAAGACCCAGACATTTTGATGCATAGTATGTCTCTGAAGTATTAAAATTGAAGGCACAGTCGCAGTTTAGAAATTGCACTTCAAATTTGAACTTTGCAGAGTGAAGTTTCAATGAAAGTCAATGGACGGCGTTAGTTGCAAACAAATGATTATATTGTGAAAACTATCAGGACTATGGCTTAGCCGTTGACATGTTTACTGACAGCAGGGATAGCTGAACGTTTTGATATAAGATTTGTGTAGGTAGGCCTGAAAATAAGGGAGTGGTGGCAGTTTAGAAATCATGTCCTGATTTTTCAGCTTTTGCCAGCTCCCACTCTAGCTTTGCCATTCATTCCTATGGGACAAATTTCGCTGCAAGAACGACGATATTCCGTGAACCATTCGGCGAAACGTTCCACAAAGTAATAGCAATCCGATTGGGAACAATCTGCACGATTTGGTAAATTTTTGTCTATGTAGTGTAGAAATTGTGGGAGGAGTTAGGGTGGCAAATTTTGCTATAATAATAATAATAATAAATATATGTGAGATAACAATAAGTGGTCTTGCTATGCAAGAACACTTAATTATGTATTAAAATGCAATCTCATGTCATGGCTAATAATGCAGAACTGCTTTTAGGCTACCCATTCACTAAACTATTTACGATTACCTGCTGTGAATGTGATATCTTCTCTCTTGGTTCTGTTTGCGTGATCGGTATATCATCCAATTCCACATGAAAGATGTAAAATATAAATCCATACAGGGCAGGACCAAGTCCATTACACAAGCCGCGGATTCCTGTAATCATTCCTTGCACAACACCTAAAACAGATGAATGGGAACACACATTTACCTAACCGAGGTCTAGTCTTATTTGCCTTAATTGTGATTACCTTTGCTTCACTAGTCTATGGTGCCATATGATTTAAAATAAATCCTGGTTATCGTTTATCAGTTAGATCATATTTATATATGGATATTGGATCGAAATGTCGATCAGACACATGTAAGCCTTTTTATGGATTAAATACCATTTCACTTATTTAAGACCGCAGAGCGCATCTCTTTTTTCAGTTTTATATATTCTCAACATGAGATTGCACTAGGGCAATAATCTTTAATTTTGTATGGGTATATATATATATATATATATATATATATATATATATATATATATATATATATATATATATATATATATATTTTATATATATATTTCTCCCCCTGCCCCATACTATTCTTGTAACATGCAATATCAATGTGATGAAATTCAGGATACAATTGGAAATCCTAAAAAAAAAAAAAGAAAAAAAAAAAGGATATATTTATTTGAGGATTTCCAATTAATAAACATTAATGTTGCACGTGAGAAGAATGGTATGAGGAAAAAAAACCCAAAAAATACATATATAATTTAGGACAGCTAAATGCTAGGAAATTGTATATCTTGAGCACCAATACTGAATGAGGGATTAAGTGCCCTTTTCACTCAGTACTCTGAATTAAGTGCTGCTTCAGCTAACATTCTAAGCGTATAAACAATGTCTGGTTCAAGATTGAAACCTTGGACCTGCTTAGGAAGTGGAAGGGCGGCCAGATGGCATCTTGCAGACTCTGTAGTTAAACTGTTCGTTAATGCCTTAACCCCTTAATGACACATGACGGAAATATTCCGTCATGATTCCCTTTTATTCCAGAAGTTGTGTCCTTAAGGGGTTAATATGTTCGACACCTGGGACTTCATTGCACTATAACAACTTGATTGCAATGAAATGGTTATGGTGCTCGGAGTGATCCTATAAACACCTCTATTTTGAATGATTTCACGTTGTTTTATAACAATTAGTAATTTCTAAAATAATAAAGCTAGCTTAAAATATTAATACCACATTAAAAAAGTAAACATTTTGCAGCATATCATACCTTGCTGATCTGGATCTGCCGTTCGGGAAACTAAAGCACTTACTGCAGGAAAGGTGATGCTAGACATTGCAGCAACTGCTCCTGCAGCCCACATCATCCTAAAACACAAATAAAGAGAGAAATAGGCAAGTTAAAAATTAGCAGCAGAAAAAGAAGTGTAAGTCTCAAATGAGCCATCTTGAAAACTAAATGGCATCAAACAGGTCATCTGCAAGCAAGCTCAATAGGAATGCAGGAAATCTAAACTCCACTATCATCTGACCGAGGAGGTCTGTTTCTACTTATGCAGACTATAGTGCGGCATGACCACCAAAACCAATAAATGCCTTTGTATATTTTAGCCCATTTAGGGATTTTGGTTTTATAAAATGTAAAATGATTTCCCTATATGGAGTGCTATCTCTGCTTCTATCACTAATCTATAAATTGGTGGCAGTTCCATACAAGAATGGAGATGCTCCAATGATTTTCAGCCCAAAAACCCCTTCAGTGACTTACCGCTGCTTCTTGGTCCACCCACCTCCTCCCCATCACCACGTCAGCTGGCCGGCCGGGAAGACTGATCCCGCCCGCTGCACGCGCATTAGACCTCCCCATAGGAAAGCATTGAAAATCTGTGCTATAATCCCAGAAGTGCCCTCTAGTGGCGTTCTAGTAGACAGCCACTAGAGGAGGAGTTAACCCTGCAAGGTAATTATTGAAGAACCCAGCAAGGTAATTATTGCAGTTAATAAAAACTGCAATAATTACAGTTGCAGGGTTAAGGGTAGTGGGAGTTGGCACCCAGACCACTCCAATGGGCAGAAGTGGTCTGGGTGCCTGGAGTGTCCCTTTAACCCATACTTTTTTTTCTGAGGTTTGAAAAAGAAAATCAAATGTGCTATAAACTGTCCTTTACACCTGGCAATAAGAGAGAACAAGAAATTAAACAATGGTTTTTTTTTATCCTCTTCATTTGCAATGTTTGTCCTGGCTGGACTTTGATGTCAATTGCTAAATTTATAATATAATATACATTTCAAATTAAACAGAGCATTTCATTAAAAGGATTGCTCCAACCCTTTTTATTCTATAATCATTGCAGATATCTCTGTATGTGCAGCGTTTCAAGCTTAGATGCTGCACACACAGACTTCGTTGTCCATGACCACTTCTAAAAGCAGATGTACTCATGGAGGTTAGAGTAATTTATTAAGAATGGTAAACTCGAGTTATAGGTAATTTTGAATGTTTTATTCAAGCATGTAAACTCCAGAGAAGGGACAGTTCATGGTTAATGTCATACTAGTTAAAATATTCAGTTACTGATGCAAGAAGTTATATTTTTGTCATTTGGGTAATATCTTTTGGGATTAAAGGAACATTATAGGGTCAGGTACAAAAACAGGGTTTCCTGAGTCTATAGTGTTAAAACCACCATCTAGTCCAACATGTCCCCTATATATAGTAAAATCTTACTTTTGTTCAAGTCTGCAGCTGTTGCCTCTACCCTTGATGTCTGCCTGCTTTGCTGGCATCATAAGAAGTGTTGTTCTGAGCCAATCACAATGCTTTCTCATAGGATTGGCTGAGGCCGTCAAGGAGGAAGATCAGGGGCAGAGCCAGCACAAGTCAAACACAGCCCTGGCCAATTAGCATTTCCTCAGAGATGCATTGAATCAATGCATCTCTCTGAGGCAAGTTCAGTGTTTCCATGCAGTGGAGACACTGAATGGTAGTGCTGGACAGTGTGCAGCATTGCCCCAGGAAGCACCTCCAGTAGCCATCTGAGCAGTGGCCAGTGAAGTTATCAATAGGCTGTAATGTAAACACTGCATTTTCTCTGAAAATACAGTGTTTACAGCAAAGCGCCTGAAGGGAATGATTCTACTCACCAGAACAAATACAATAAGTTGTAGTTGTTCTGGCTACTATAGTGTCCGTTTAATGATTAGCTACGAACAGTAACAGGTAGTAAAGGTTAACGACCTCTGATTATTCAACCCTGATATCTGGTGATACACTAATCATTCTGGTATTTGTATATACACGAATGGCTTGCCATTATATTTCTCCTTAAGACACTGGCTTGCCATATTTTATGGCAGAACCTAGCTACCTCACAAGCAAGCTGCGTTACAAACCGAATACTTATTATGCTTCCCTGAATTCACAGAAATAAAAATTAACTCAAATGTTTGCATATTTATTTTTGTGGCTCCAATTTCTGTTTTTGTTTTTACTATTCACAACAAAGAAAAGCCACTTTAAAGCTAACCTTACTGACTGTTTCATGTCTAGGTTCCAAATGTTGTTGGACATGTAAACATTTCCCCCAGTTAAATTGTTCTTCCATTTTCTTTTGTTTACCTTCTTTAAACATTCTATAACTGCTGTTTTTGCCAGGATACTTTCAGAAATTACAGCAGGGCAATACTATTTGCCAACTGTATAGTCTTGATGTCTCTACAAAGCATGCTCAAACGTACAAGTAAAATTCTAGAGCATAACTGTTTAAAAGTCTCTTTTCCAGTATGCTGATTTTTTCAGTTCTAACATTGTAGTACTTTACTTCTCCTCCTCCGGCATTCTGATATCTGTGTCTGTCCCAGTGATGACAAAGATTACTTCTTCAAAACCTGATAAATTTCCAATTATTTTTGTGTGTGTTGTGCTGCCAAATTCATATTCTTAAATTGTCTTAGCTTGGTCTTGCACCGTTCGCCTCCACAGATAGACAAGAACTCTTAAGCTCATCATTTTTATTGATTCAGGGTCTAATTTCAGGACACGGTAGGACAGATTTTAAAGGCATGAGTGGAGATTTAGAATGCCTAAAAGGGAGAGTCCAGCCCCATGAGAAGAAAACAAACAAACCACTAGCAGTTATAGAATGTAAACCCCTTAAGGACGGAGTCAATAGTGCACATTCTGATCAAAACAAAATGTAAACAAAAACTGGAATTTGCGCTATATGTCTGTTCAACTGTAATTCACAGCTGTCACATTAAGTGCACCCACACTTATTATATATCATTTTGTTCAGGAGAAACAGGGCTTTAATTTATCATTAACTATTCATATATGGAACATATATACACACACATATATATTTGCGGTTATTTGTATTTTATATATAGATATATATAGAATGTCATTCTAAGTGTACTTTGTTATATTTATATATAATATATATATATATATATATATATACACATACACACACACACACAAACATACACATAACAAAATACAGTTAGAATGAAATTACATATGAATATAATTTATCTAAAACTTTGTTTCAATATTTTATGTATTCTTGTAATTATACGTACATATATCTAATATATATATCTAATAAATATATATATTTTTGTATATATCTAATATATATAACGTAATTCTTAGTGTATTTTAATACTAATATAAGTACTTATATTAATATTAAAATACACTTTGTATGACGTTACATGTATATATTATATATATACACACACACACACACACACATATAATCCGCTTTTATTTAAATTTTACACAGGTCTAATTTTTTTTTTTTTTTTTTTACAGCTCCCACCATCAGGGGGACTGTCTGATATTTCAGACAGTCCCCCTGCTGGCAGATCCACAGCCAGCTACAGGGGGCCATATTTGCAGGGGGAGGGCTGCCTGGGCTGTCAGGCAGCCCTCCAGAAGAGGATCGCGGAGGTAAGTCCATCGGACCTCCAGAGGTAGAAAGCAGTTACGGCGTTCTATGCCGCCGCAACGGCTTTAAAGCCCTTTTAATGCGGGACGGCATAGAACGCTGTAACAGCATTAAGGGGTTAATTATAACTGCAAAGGTGAATCAACGTGGAATCAATTCAATTCAAAGTTCAAACTCTGAAACCCTAGAAAAAAAATCCAAAAGGAATTTGATTTATTCTTGTTTGGTGTGTCTAGTTTCAGGATGCGCTTATTAGTACAGCAGAGACAGTGAGATCAGTAATGTTTACAGAAGGATTATGATAGTACTGAAATAATGGAAAGTGGAAACATCTGTTTATCCCCATAAATTATAGTTTACAGCCCTAGCAAGAGAGAACGCAGAAAGAGTACATTACATACCAAGACTCTGAGCCGAATCCGTACCAGGCCAGTTGCAAAATCTGGAAACCCAGTCCCAGCAGAATTGTGTTCTTGTTTCCAATTGACCTCATCAGTAAACTCAAAACAACGGTCTATGCAAAAAAATGATAAAGAACAAACATGCAAAGGCATTATAACAATTATTAAAATCAAACTTATTCCTGACCGCCAGTTTTTTTATTTTTTATTTAATGCATTTAGTAGGTAAAGCTCCTCTCAATCTAGAAAGAGGTTCCAACAACTAAAAAGCCTCTTATTCTGGTCTATTTCATACCTGACTACCCAGGACCATTGTGCTGCATGGATCCAACAATGAAATGTTGCGCACCCCCCTTCACCAAAACACACCCTCATCCCTTATGTTAGGCAGTGTGAACAGCAAATTCAATGTCTGTGTATTGTATGCAGTATGTGTAGTGCATATAGTGTGTGAGGAGACATCATGTTTATTAACTTTATTCCCACTTTCCGGTCTTTTACCTGTTGTCAGGGAGGGGGACACAATATTCCTTGGTGGCCGTGTGGCTCAGCAGGTTGTATTGCTAAGGTTTGGCCAGGAGTCTATTTCCACCCCAAAAGCATCATGTCCGCTCTGCTTGCGAGACAGTAGAATGTGGCCACGGGTTGCTATGGCAACGCTCCGTGGGCACACAATGAATGCCAGATCATTGCCATAACTAGTGGCGGTCATACTCTTGCAGTTTGTGAGAAGAGATGACCTGCTGCGGTGCATAATATATATATATATATATATATATATACACATACATATACACATACACACACACAAAATAAGTCAGCCAGGGCCACAAGCAGCAGATTAAAGTGTACAGTCTTACAGGAACTAATATAGAAGCTGATAACAGCCACACCACCACTGCTTATCAATCTACTGGCAGGCCCCCACACACAGCTATGGGCCTACTTGACATGGAGTAGTTATTTTTACTTTTATCTACTTGAAGAAGCCCTTGGGGCGAAACACGTCTAGATATCATTTTTTTTTTTGCATTTTGTAGTATCAACATACCAAAAATCATCTTGTACAGTAGGAGATTGTAACAATGGATAGAATTTACATACATATATCCAGTAGTACATATGTCATAAGATTGCTACCAGTTGATACGTTTGGTACCATTATAATACAACGAATAATGCAACATTAACATAAGGGGGGGGTAGAGAGGAAGGGATCGGAGGAGGAGGGGAGAGGAGGTCAGCATGCTCAGTTAAGAGCAGATGGAGTTGGAGTTGTGCCTAACCCAGTGTGGTTCGAGTCCCACTATGTGTCGCCCATGTCGGGTTTGGACAGTATTGGTCAATATGGTAGGTGGGAGGCTGGGTGTCGCTATGGAGGAAGTGTGCCTCTCAATTTTGTATGTTGAAGTGGTGTCCTGTTTAAGTGGTGTCATGTTGCGGTGATTCGGAGGTTCCCCCTTTTGTTGGCCCCGTCATGTACGTTTCCCACGTGTCCCAGGCTACCGCTATAAATTGTTTAGGTGGTGTATTTTTACGTGCCATTAGTTCGTATTGTCTCGTCATCTGTAGTGCTCTGATACATTGGGACAGGTGTGGTGGAACTGGATTTCGCCATAATCTGCTTATCGCCTGTAGTGCTGCTACAATGATGTGGTAGATGAGGTATACTTGGGGTTTCGTGAGATTTTTGGGAAGTAGTTGAAACAGATAGACTTCAGGGTTCTGTGGTAGGTGGACACCTGTGCTGTCTTGGATTAGTTGTATTATATCGTCCCAGTATGGTTTCAGTTTTGGGCATGTCCACCAAATGTGTATCATGGACCCTTTGCCGTCTGTACAGCGCCAGCACGTGTCCGATATGTTTGGGTTCCCTTTGTGGAGCCTTGTGGGGACCATGTACCACCTATATAGTATTTTACGCGTGATCTCTGTGTGGGAGGCACACAATGAGAGGTTCCTGTGTCCCTTAAATATTTTGGCCCATTGGATCTCAGATAAGTGAGTTGTCAGATCACGGTCCCACGCTTTTGTGAAGGTGAAGGTATGTGGGCCTTTTGTGGAATTGTATATGGCGTAAATTAATGAGATAAGTTTTTTCTTTGGTTTTAGGTTGAGGCATATTAATTCTAGTTCTGTCATTTGTAGCCCAGCCTCCGGATGATTAGAACAGATCGTTTGCGTCCTGAGCCATGACGCTAATTGCCTATATGAGAAGTGAGCTGTGTCTGGAAGCCCATATTGTTTTTGGATCTCAGTGAATGTTTTCAAAGTTGGGCCCTGACATATGTGGTATAGATGTTTAATGTCATGGTCGTGCCACATGCGGAGTTGGAATCCCGGTATGATCAGGCTCAGTGTCTCCAGTGGCGTTGCTAGAGAGGGGCCCCCTTTCATTATGTGTGTTTTACCAAAGTGATCCCAGATTTGTAGTGTTAGCCTAGTGGTGGGGAGACTGTCTTTGTGTTTAGGCCTTAGTTTCCTGGACATCCAAGCCAGAGCGGGGATTGTGAAGTTATTTGTGTAACATGCTTCTATTCGTACCCACTGTGGGGGGCTAGGGTTACCCGTAACTGCCAAGATCGGGCTTATCATGGCCGCTTTATAGTAGTGAGCTATGTTTGGCAAGCCCATACCCCCTTTCTGAAGGGGTTTATGTAGTGTGGCTGCTGCTATTCTAGGTTTGGTGTTGTTCCAGATGAACGAGGATACTAGAGTTTGTATTTCACTCAGGTAACGCCTGGGGATTGCAAGCGGGATGGATCTGAATAGGTATTGTATTCTTGGAAGGAGCAACATTTTCACTGCAGCTATCCTGCCTACCCACGATATAAACTTCCCTTTCCAACTGTGTACGAGGGATTTGAGCTCCGTGAGAAGTGGTATGTAATTTGCTTTGTGGATACCCGCCAACGTTTTGGTCAAAGCTATTCCTAGAAATGTTATTTTGTCTGCGCGCCATTCAAATGCAAAGTTCGTTTTAAGGTGGCTCATCTCGGGCTGCGATAGATTGATGCCTAATGCTTGTGTTTTGGAGACATTCAATTTATAGTACGAGCATTTCCCATATTGGTGTATCAGCTGTTGTAGCGCTGTCAGGGAGGAGCTTGGGTTTTGTAGTGTGAGAAGGATGTCATCCGCGAATAACGCGATTTTATATTCATCGTTTTTTACCTTAATTCCCTGAATCGTGGGGTTCGTCCTAATCATGTGTGCAAGTGGCTCCAGGGCAAGTATGTACAGTATCGGGGATAAAGGGCAGCCCTGCCTAGTGCCATTTGTGATGTTGAAATTACTGGAAGAGAAGCCCCCATTCGCTACTTGTGCCGACGGGTTAGAGTATAACGCTTCCACCAATGCCTGGAACCGTGGGGGGAATCCAAATCTCCCTAGGACCGCGCGGAGGAAGGGCCAGTGAAGGCGGTCGAACGCTTTTTCAGCATCCAACGACACCAACACGCTCGGTGCTCCCCCTCCCCGCAGTCCACCCAGCAGGTCCAACACTTTCCTCACTCCATCCGCCCCCTGGCGGCCACTCACACACCCCACCTGGTCTGCGTGCACCAGGGTAGGGATTATTGTTGACAGTCTGTTGGCATAAATTTTGGCTAATATTTTTGTGTCCGTGTTGAGGAGCGAGATTGGGCGCAGGTTCTGGCATCTATTTGGTGGTTTCCCTGGTTTGGGGAGAGTGGCTACATGCGCCATTAGCATCTCCCTCGGCACTTTACCCGTGGTGGTTATGTGGTTGTATAATACTGTCATGTGCGGGGCCAGTATGGTAGCAAAGGTTTTATAGTAACAATTTGTTAGACCGTCTGGGCCTGGGGATTTACCAGGCGGCAATGACGCGATGGTGTCGAGTATCTCTTGATTCGTTATTGGAGTCTGGAGTTTTTCTACTTGTGCATGCGTTAATGAGGGTAGTTGTGTGAGGTCTAGGAAGTGTTTGATTTCAGTATCTGTGGGTTGATGAGTCGCCGCGTCTTGTTGTAAGTTGTACAGTGTGTGGTAAAATTTTGCCATCTCGTTGTTGATGTCTTGGGGGTTGTACAGATTTGCCCCGCTATTTGTGTATAGGTAAGGAATTTTAGATTGGGATTGTTTTTTCCTTAGCATTGCTGCCATGACTTTCCCTGCTTTGTTACCCTGGGAATATTGTCTTATTTTTAAGCGTTGCATAGTGTAGGATGATTTGGCTAGGTGTATGTCATTCAGCCGTCTAGTAGCGGAGTCTATGATGGTAAGGTGAGCAGCGTTTGGGTTTAGTGCATGTGCGGCCGTGGTATCTCTGATTGTCCGAAGTAGTGTCATGTATTCTTCATTGGATTTACGTTTGATGTGGGCGGCTCTACTAATCAGCAGCCCTCGTATGGTCGGCTTGTGGGCCTGCCACAAAGTGCCGGGGGATATGTCCGGAGTGTTGTTGGTCTGGAAGTATTGTTCCAGATCCCGCATCAGTTGTGCCCGGAATGTGGTGTCATGCAAAATTGAGTCGTTGAGGCGCCAGGGTGGGCGCCCTCTGTGGGGAAAGGAGTCGCTTAGAGTCACCGTGAGCGGCGCATGGTCCGACCACACAATGTCTCCAATCTGACAGTGGGTGGTTCTGGACGCCAGTGGCCCTGACACCAGGGCATAATCTATTCTGGAGAACGACTTGTGTACTTGTGAGAAGTAGGTGAACCCTTTTTCCATGGGGTGGAGCATGCGCCAGGTGTCATATAGGTTGTGTTCTGTTAGTAGATGGTGTAGGGCTTTACTCTGTGTCCTCATTGCAGAATGTCGCGGGGAGGTGTTAGGGAGGGACGTATCCGTGTGGGAGTTCAGCACATGATTTAAATCACCACATATAATTGTGTTTCCCGTCGTGGAGGTGGGTAGTTTGTTCATGACTTTCTTGAAAAATTGTGTTTGGTTTGTGTTTGGGCTGTATACCCCCACCAGGACATATTCGGTATTGTTAACTATACAGTGCAATACTATATACCTCCCCTGCGCATCTTTGCGTAGGCTCAGCAATTCAAACGTCAGTGTGTGGTGTATCAAAAAAGACACCCCTTTGGATTTAGAGGAGTGGGTTGCGTGGAATTGAGTTGGGTAGTTCCGTAGCCCAAACTGAGGGACTCTATTGGTCACAAAATGAGTCTCTTGGGCACATAAGATATCTATTTTGTCCCTATTTGCCTCTTCTAAGAGAAGGCGTCGTTTATGGGGGTGATTCAACCCTCTTGTGTTGTGGGATCGTATCGTTAGAGACATAAGTGGAGGGTGAGGTGCTGAATTAAAGCACATGGTGCCATTGGGGTTTGCTTCCGCTGTGGTATGGGGTGATGGTGAGTGCTATAATAGGTAGGCTGGTTAGCAGTGAATCCTCTCTTCTGTGGAAAGGGGTAGGGAAGGGGGTGTAACTTGGACAATCGAACTTGGATATGGTAAGCAAAATTTCCTCCAGGGAGGAGTTGGTGTGGTAGGTCCACACCTTGGGGGTGGGAGTTCCTGGGTTCTCCCGTGATGTGGCTGTTGAGCTCTGTGAGTTGTGGTCAGTCAAAAAGGCTGAAATGCGCCTGGCATATGGGTTCCATTTGTTCCCTGATTAGAAGAATTTAGCGTTTTTTTTTTTTTTTCGTCCCATGCGTCCTAGCCCACGCAAGTTACTGTCACCATGTGTGCTGTCGACACCCGCCGTGGCCTCTGCCCGGCCCACGGCCGATATGCACGGCTAGATCTCCGCCGTGCATAGGGGCGGTGCTAGCCTGCTTCGTCGGCCGCGTAATAGTGTGCACCCCACGGCGGGGACTGTGTTAAGTGCTGAAACTTCCCTGCGCTCTGCATAGCCTCAGGCCTCGTTTGGGCTCGGTTACTCTGGGCTACTTTAATGTCTCCTACAGGGTGTCATGTCATGTAGCGAGCTGTCATGGGGGCCAAGGGGTCCTCCTGGGTATGTTTCCATATCTATATCAGTGTATGCAGTTTTCCGTGTAACATATCTCTAAGCCCCCAGTACCCCCGACATCCCAATAACATATGCAAAGTTTAGGTAGGTTATGCTAGAAAGGAAACAAAATATTATAACCATCTTGAAAGTATTGAGTGGCGGACCACTCTTGGAGTGAGTCGGGCCGTAGCTAGTTCATGTTGGGTCGAGATTCAGGAAAGTGTCCACAATGTGCAGACAGGCACTCTGCTTTGCGGTCCCCAGAGCGGGTCATCCGCTTTAGTGCTTTGTGAAGTGTGGTGGTATATACGTGTGTGGAATAGATCGCTTAAGAGAGCGGCATCTGTAGCAGGTGTGTGTAAATAAGTTGTGTGATGCGGTGTAGGATAGTGTAGTTGTGGTGTTGTGTGCTGACAATACTTGCGACCCATGATATCATGTCCATTAGGTAAGTCTCTGGCGGACGACGCTCCACTCCCGTGTTGTCTTCTTAATCGGCTGTGCAGTAGGCTCCGACTGGCCAAGCGGTATCCCCCATTCTTTTAGAAGCCGGACTCCTTCCTCCGGGGAATGGACGGGTTTGAAGGCGCCTCCGCGTTGAATCAGCATCTTAGTCGGGTAGCCCCATCGATATCTGGTGCCATGTTGCCGTAAAGCTTCTGCGACCTGTTGGAATGCCCGTCGTTTTTTCAACGTTGCTGCCGAGAGGTCATTGAATATCTTTACTGTGGGGAAGTCTTCGTGCGGGTGGTTGCGGTTACGGCTCGCCGTGAGGACCAGCTCTTTGACATGAAAGTAATGGGCCCGCAGCAACACGTCTCGTGGTGTGGAGTCTGGCAGGTGAGCCGGCTTGGGGATTCTGTGTATCCGGTCAATGAGCATCATGTCCGTCGGTATGTCCGGCGCGTAAGCTCTCATTAGGCCTCGTGCGTAGGCCTGAAGGTCTACTGGTTGCACCGACTCTGGTACTCCTCGAAGCCGGATATTGTTCCGCCGTGCCCGATCTTCTGCATCTGCCATTTGCGACTCAGGCGTTCCACCTTCTCCTCCAACTGTTGGACATGATCCGCCATGTTGTTGTGGGCAGAAGCGAAGTCCCCCATTTTGTCCTCAATTTTGGAAGTGCGTGTTCCCAGTTCCTGCATTTCCTTCCTCATGGCATCTGCCGTTTGTTGCCAGGAGGCTATCAGTTTGGTGGACAGATTGTTCAGCGCGTGCTCCAGGAAACTTTTCGTAATTTGGTCGGACTGTGCTTTATCCGCCATGGGGAGGCTCGAATCCGAATCTCCCTCGCCATCTTGGGCATCCGGCTGTGAGGCAGTTTGTGGAGTTTGGCTTTTGTGGCCAAAAAAGTTGATTTTGTCTGTTTTGGCCGTCGTTTTTTTCGTCCTGTGGGTGGCCATCGCTTTGGCGCCGTTATTTTGTTTATTTCTTTGTTGTTTTGTGCCTTTAATAGCTCATGTATAAGAGCTCAGTACCGGAGCAAGTCCTTATGCGGCCATCTTGCTCGGTGGTCGGCCACGCCCCTCTAGATATCATTTTAATACGTTATAATAAAGAATTTTTGGCATAAAACACTTTATTGCCATTTTTTCTTCTTTTTTCCTTTCACCTGACTACCTATATTGTCTAATTTTAGAAGAAATATAAAGAATCCATAGGTGGGGATTATACCACCTAAGCGCCTATAGTGAGCAGTATACATCTGCTCAAAAGAATGTGAGTAATATACATTTTATACTTCTTAACCTTTTATCACAATACAGAGAGCACTATATATTTTATTCTTTCCTTCTGGGTCTGGAATTTGGAAGCCGTACGTGTACTAGAGAATCGCCAATTGTCATCTACTCCACATATCCTCGAGTGGGGATCATTCCACTTTACGTGCATTACATCAGAGCTGGATCCTCAGCTCTGAAAAGTGTGAGTAAGACTTATTTTACTATTTTATTCTCAACGTACCTACCTACTGTACCACTGGAGTCCTGTACTTTTTTCTCTCCACATATGCTCCATTGAATGAAGATCTGACCTCACCCTACATCCTAAGAATTTTCTTTTGTCTCACGTGGGATCTTTCATCATGAACTTTGATAAGTTTTGGACTATTGCCAACCATTTTTATATTTTATATATTTTGTTTTATTATTGTATTTTATAATTTTGAGTATATATTTTAGGCGCATCCTTACTGTACTGTTTGTCTTGTCTTTTTCAACTATTAGGGATTTATAGGGGATTCCCTTTTAAGGAGTGCAGCCTTTTTTTACTGTGGCCATTTAGCGCTGATTTTTTTCTGTTTTTTCCATGGAGTAGCATGTCTGAATTGGTATAGAAAGATAAAAAGCATTGAACAAGCAAAATGGGTGCTAAAAGAAAAATAGCCAAAATCACACAAACACGCTAGGTGCAGACAGGAAGAAGCCAAAGCAAAAACTAGCCAGGTTCAGAAAGTGAGGGGCCAAATTAAACTAGGTGTTGAGGGTGAGGAGCTGCAATTAGAAACTCACCTGAGCAATAATGGAGAGAATTCCCAATACAGCTATAAAGGCTGCAACACTTTCTGGGGTAAAATGCATGATCTGGAAATGAAAAAAAAAAGGAGATTTGTAAAAGCAACAATAGGTGTCAAACAGGCATGTATTTTTATTAAATAAAAATAAAATTAAATTAAAAAAAAGTGTGTGCCCCCATACATATTTATTTTAAATTGAGCTAAATTGTTGAAACTTCATCAGGAGATATGCTCACCTGTTTGAGATACAGGAAGAAGCTGGAGTACTGTCCGGCCTCGGGGAGGTAGGAGAGAAAAACAGTGATGCAGATGAGCAGGACAATGGAATCCTGGCCAACCTTTTTTAGTGACTAAAAAAAAAAAAAGAAAAAAAAAGAAAAGAAAAAATTCTGATCAAGCAAGGTATTATTCTTAGATGCTAGTCTACATTCTGACACTTCTGTCACATTTTAGAACCAGTCCAGGCCCAAGCAAAACCAATCCTTTATGACACTACACATCCTGCTTATAGATGATAACAAGTCCAGATTCAACATGGCTTGCATTTAACAAATAGTAACCAGTTCAGATCCATCATGGCTAGATATTAACAGATAAGAACAGATACATATACAGCTAGGTTTGCTATTAACCAGTCCAGTTACAGTCACTTTTGAGCCAGCATGGCTTACTACTATAGTGAAGTTATAAAGAATAGTAGGAAAGCACACTACCCAGTCCAAAGAAATGGTGCTATCTGATACAGCACTAAGGTGGTAAAACAAACATACCAGGGATGCACACCAAATAGCATTACAATAATAATAAAAAATAAAAAAATACCTTTATTTCAAATCACTTTGATCACTCGAAAAAACAAACAAACTTACCAGTACCTAGTGAGATATGCCATGCAACACAATACGGCATAAATCAGTAACAAAAGCCTACAAAAAGCACAGTATACAAAGTCAATAAACTTACGCAATATTTCGGCATACAAACGCCTTTCTCAAGGGACCATTTATGTGAAACCATAAGCCATGAAAACATCAGGTTCACCTTCAGGTAGGCAGGATACCAAATATAACTTCCTCCTACTACATTACTGAATTCAGAATAGATAGGACTTGCTCATGCAGCCCCCCCCACCCCCCCCCCAAAAAAAACTTGGCATCCTGCAATTCACTGCCATTATATACCAACAATTGTGGGATGCCTCCACGTCACTTGCACATTCCTGAACTCCATTTGTAACACACCATGGCATAGCAGTTAAGTATTAGACAGTCCAAAAAATAAAATAAAGAATAGGCTTGCTTATAATTTTAATGGTGATCTGGCAAGCAAAACAATGTGTATCTAAGTTTATTCCCTATGGAAGCAACACCAAGTCATGTTTGGCAGCTATAAGTAAGTTCAGTTCAAGCATTGCTCATCATTATCAGACAAAAAGGAATTCCAGTGTGCTTGCCACTAACAGCTTAGAACCGACTAGAACACCCAAGCAACTTTAGGAGTTTAATAACTTGATTTGATTTACGGAGCCAGAGCCATACCTCCATTGCCGGTGACTCCCACAGCCTGTACGAAAAATTGTTTCATTTATAATCAGATGTAACCAAACAGTGTGTTTACTTTAGATATTTTCATCTTCTGCTCTCTTAATTGAACTTCAATTGCACACATGAGGCTCTAGCAGGCTATCAACTGAGCAAGAGACAAGAAATTCTAAATTAAACAGACTGTGCAATAAAGGAAGTTCAAACATTAGATTTCTCTTTATAGGAAGTGTGTAGGGAGACTGTAGATCACATGCAGGGGTGGTATGACGAGAGCTGCATAAACAAAGTGATTTAACTCCCATACGGCAGAGAAGTGAGTTAGACTGCAGGTTCACAATCTATACACCAAAAACACTCCAGTAAGCTAGTTGATTAGGTGATTATAGTGTCCCTTTAATCATCTATGGTAATGACCAATCTCAAACAGGTATTTGGGGAGTGTTGAGCATTTCCCATAAACCACTACACAGTAGAAAGCAGACAACTGATCTAAAACTTCCAATCAATTCCTGCTGCACAGCATCTTACAATAGATATATTGCTGCTTTACTGTTGAACAATTGTAAATATTGAAGATTGTATGAATGAAGAATATGGATAGATTGATGGAGAAAGCTTATAATAAATAAAAAATACTGCACCCAATTGTGTATCTTTAAATTTAGTGTATGTTTTCATATTTGAAGAAACATCAAGACTTAGGAATACATTTGTGCACTGCAAATTACAAGGCTCGTGCAACAGGAGTTGTGCTAAGTGTGCACTTTTATTTTAACTCACAGCAAAAGGGTCAGCTTGTTCCCAAGAGATTGGAGCACCCCAAGATGCTGGCCTCATTTTTTCAGGGAGTGATTCCGGAACAGCTACTAGGATGAAGCAGATGTCCAGTAGGGCAATCGCAGTTGCAAGAAGCACCACAAGAGAATCACCATATACACGACCAAGGTAAGCGCCTATTGCCGGACTTGTAACCAGGCTAGCTGCAAATGTGGCTGAAACCTGTGGGGTATAAATGAAAATGGAAAAGTATGAGTGTGGAAAACATAGGGACAAACTTTATTAAAGACACGGAGGCTCCTATTATGCATTCTTTTTCTTTATTTACTTCCAGCAAGGAAAGATGTATGACAGAATCATAGAAAAAAAATAATAGCATAGTAACACTGTGTGCACGGTGTGGTGCTCCTTGACTCCTCTTTGTTAAATATATATATAAAAATTAAATAATCCTGATGAAAGTCCCAGACGTGGACTGAAACGTCGGTCCTTTTTAACATGTATTTACATTAAAACTATTGGAAAACCGTGAGTGCTGGTCATCTCTCCATTTTGTGTGTGTGTACATATATATATATATATATATATATATATATATATATATATATATATATATATATATATATATATATATATATATACACACACACACACACACACACACACACACATATTTAATTATTTTTTTGTGTGTAGATTTATGTATGGAGTATGTTTTACTGCTCACTAATTATTGCTGTGTTATACAGTCCTGCTGGTGTCTGTGAGTGCTGCCTTTTCCCACTTATTCTCTTCCCTGCATGGTCAGCCCCATTGGTGGTGCAGCTGGGCTACTTGGCTGCTTACTGCGAGTGTCCTCGGTCTTGTGCGGTCGCTCTGACAGTTTTTTACATTTTCATTTCGACCTTCTCTGCATTCGCAGTTCTCGCCGCGGCAGCCATCTGTTTGGTTTCTGTCACCGCGAGTGTATACTTTCACTCGCAGCGGCCATTTTGATGGTGTTTTCGGCAGGAATTTCAGCGGATCGTTGTCAAAGGTGGATAACGGCTTCTCCCACCCTCCTGGAGCACTCCCAGACCCATATTGTGTATTACTGCTGTTCAATTGTGTTGGTGTAGAGGATTTCTCTATTCTGAAACCGTTTGTTCTTTTAGCCTTTAGCTAGGATTTTTTCCTTAACAGGTCACTTTAGGTACTGTTATTTAACCCTTAAGCTACCTACTAGTAGCATTGGTTTATTGGGCCTAGTAATTCGACCCTGATTACGATTAAGGGTATCTTTCCCTGTAGGCAGATAGTGATTGAAACGCTATAATGCAGGATCAAACTCAGATCTGCGGGTTCAGTGTGTCCCACAGCAGGGGTTTCCTTCTCAGGCAGGGATAGTAGAGATTTATTTTTATTTATTACTGCTATTTATAAAGCGCACACAGATTCCGCAGCGCTGTACAATTGGTGGAGAAACGTACAATACAGATGACGTCAGCCTCATGGCATCGGAGGAATTTCAATCCCTCAACAATTCTACCATTGTGCAATCCATCAACAAGGCTTTCGCCTCCGTGATGGGGGTAATGTGGTCTTCTATCACACACTCAATAACCCAAGTGTTGCTGCAGACTCAGGGTAGTGGCCTTGAGGGCACACAAAACACGGGAACCACTAACGTGGCACAACCGGGCCGCAAAGATTTGGTTAAAAGCAGACATACTGTTTCCCCTCCAGGTTCGGCCTGTATTAAACGACACGCTTAATGCTGTCGAAGATGGAGTGAGACCACCGAGCAAAATATTTCAGACTCCGTGGGGAAAAACCCTGATGTTGGTCCAATTCTTGAATAAGTCAGGTTGGAAACCGAGGAAAGGCCTAGTCTTTTCCTTTCAGAACTGCTAGGACAAGTACCTGGACACCCTGGGGCCCATGTCTAAGCTCTATGAGTGGGTGGAATCTGCCCAGTCGGGTGAGAGCGACTTCGAATATGAAGTAGCGAAAGGTTGGTTGCAGAGGTTGGTCTGCATGGTGGGTAATGCCAATACAGCTATGTCAACCTAACACCGCAAGGCGATACTTCTAAAAAAAAATAAAAAAAAATGAGCCCAAACTGGCTAGTATGGCGACCAATGATCCGGGGCCAGCCGCAAAAGGCTTACTCTTTGGCGAATCCTTTATTAAGGATTTGGGGCTGTACGTTAAAACCTTACAGCAATTAAAACTCAGACTATATGGAGGGGCCGGTAGAAGTAGGAGCGGTCTTTCCGGCCGTGGATTTCAGGGCTCATTCAGAGCCGGCAGAGGATCCTTTAATACCCAGAGACCGGTGCACGAACAAAATTATACCCTGTTCTTCCAATCTCGTGGACGCCCCGAAACACCCGTGGAGGTCGGTCTCAGGCTGACTACCTTATGGTGAGTACCGATTATCTCAGTTTTTCCCATGTAAAAGTGGAGGGCAGATTGGCACGGTTTTATCATGCTTGGAAACTCCTAACCTCAGAAGTTTGGGTATTGAATACGATAAAGGGGCATTAATTGGAGCTAGTCTCACCCTATTCAGGTGCAGTTCCCTTGAGAGCTGAACATACCCAACGAACACCACACGATGATCTCGGTAGAGATCGCAGACTTGGCGTCAAAACGCGCTATTCTACAAATCCCGTGGGACACAGAAGGGTTTGTGAGCAATCTGTTTCTGGTAACCAAGAATGGGGGTGGGATCTACGCAAGATCAAATCAGAGTCGGACACCGTCTTACACTGCTGGAGCGCACATTGCGGGACAGTTTCCACCGGTGGCAGATGGTCCAACAAAGAAACGTTGCTGCACATCAACTGCCTAGAATGGTTAGTGGCATCCTTTGCCATTCGCAGCATGACTCCCTAAGACATCTCATGCTCTATCCTAATCAAGATGGAAAACGTCCCAGCGCTGCGTTATACAGTTGCAAGAAAAAGTATGTGAACACTTTGGAATGATATGGATTTCTGCACAAATTGGTCATAAAATGTGATCTGATCATCATCAAGTCACAACAATAGACAATCACTGTCTGCTTAAACTAATAACACACAAAGAACGAAATGTTGCCATGTTTTTATTGAACATACCATGTAAACATTCACAGTGCAGGTGGAAAAAGTATGTGAACCCTTGGATTTAATAACTGGTTGAACCTACTTTGGCTGCAATAACTTCAACCAAATGTTTCCTGTAGTTGCAGATCAGACGTGCACAACGGGCAGGAGTAATTCTTGACCATTCCTCTTTACAGAACTGTTTCAGTTCAGCAATATTCTTGGGATGTCTGGTGTGAATCGCTTTCTTGAGGTCATGCCACAGCATCTCAAATCCGGTTGAGGTCAGGACTCTGACTGGGCCACTTCAGAAGGCATATTTTCTTCTGTTTAAGCCATTCTGTTGTTGATTTACTCTATGCTTTGGGTCATTGTCCTGTTGCAACACCCATATTCTGTTGAGCTTCAGCTGGTAGACAGATGGCCCTAAGTTCTCCTGCAAAATGTCTTGATAAACTTGGGAATTCATTTTTCCTTCGATGATAGCAATCCGTCCAGGCCCTGACGCAGCAAAGCAGCCCCAAACCATGATGCCCCCACCACCATACATCACAGTATTTGTGTGCTGTGCCTTTTTTTTGCCACACAGTGTTGTGTGTTTTTTCCAAACAACTCAACTTTGGTTTCATCTGTCCACAGAATATTTTGCCAGTACTGCTGTGGAACATCCAGGTGCTCTTGTGCAAACTGGAAACGTGCAGCAATGTTTCGTTTGGACAGCAGTGGCTTCCTCCCATGAAATCCATTCTTGTTTAGTGTTTTACGTATTGTAGATTCGCTAACAGGGATGTTAGCATTTGCCAGTGACTTTTGTAAGTCTTTAGCTGACACTCTAGGATTCTTCTTCACCTCATTGAGCAGTCTGCGCTGTGCTCTTGCAGTCATCTTTACAGGACGGCCACTCCTAGGGAGAGTAGTAGCAGTGCTGAACTTTCTCCATTTATAGACAATTTGTCTTACCGTGGACTGATGAACAGCAAGGCTTTTGGAGATACTTTTATAACCCCTTCCAGCTTTATGAAAGTCAACAATTCTTAATCGTAGGTCTTCTGAGAGCTCTTTTGTGCGAGGCATCATTCACATCAGGCAATGCTTCTTGTGAAAAGCAAACCCAGAACTGGTGTGTGTTTTTTATAGGGCAGGGCAGCTGTAACCAACACCTCCAATCTCATCTCATTGATTGGACTCCAGTTGGCTGACATCTCACTCCAATTAGCTCTTGGAGATGTCATTAGTCTAGGGGTTCACATACTTTTTCCACCTGCACTGTGAATATTTACATGGTGTGTTCAATAAAAACATGGCAACATTTCATTCTTTGTGTGTTATTAGTTTAAGCAGACTGTGATTGTCTATTTTTGTGACCTAGATGATGATCAGATCACATTTTATGATCAATTTGTGCAGAAATCCATATCATTCCAAAGGGTTCACATACTTTTTCTTGCAACTGTATCATCCACCAAGGAGGAAGGAAATCAAAAGTTCTAGCAGATTTTTGGCATTATTGTCAGAAGCACAGCATATCGGTACTAGCATAATATATCCCAGGACTAGATAATGCAACAGCGGATTGGAATTCTCTATACCTTCGAGATTCAGGGGATTGGCACCTCCGCCCAACGATTTTCCAACGTTTCTCTCGACTTTGTGGGGCTTTTCCACATAGATCTCTTCGCATCTTGGCTGAACGCGTAACTCCCTCGGTTCTTCAGTTGGAGACCGGACCAGCGGGAGGAATTACGCTTTTTAACCTAATCTCTTGGACCCTCTCATTCCTTCGATATTCCAAAGGGACCCTGGTTCTGATAACTCCGATATGGAGGTCGCAACCTTGGTTCCCACAATTATTGGAAATGTCGATAGACTTTCCACGTCTATTGCCGGACATGTCCTACCTTCTGACCAACCCAGAGGGAGTGAGTCACAAGTTGATAGACCAGGGTCTACTTCATCCGATGGCATTTCAGATCATCATAGAATCTCAAGGATGTTTCGCAGACAACACTCAGTCTCCTGGCAGAGGCTTAGGCACCAGACATTCCTACGGGTCGGCTTGGAGAAAGTGGACTGATTGGTGCATGGGACAATCGGTGGATCCCATATCAGCTCCTGTGAAATCAATTTTACAATTTCTGGCTCTGCTCTTTGAACAGGGAAAATCCTTTCGTACTATAAACCTGTACATATCAGCAAAACATATGGGTTTGGATGGTACTCCAATAGGTAAACATGCACTCATCTGTCGTTTGCTTAAAAGGCATAGTTTTTCTTGACCCCTTCAGGCTCGATAGTCTTTTTGGGATGTTAATGTGATTTTTTTTTTTCTTCAGTCTTGGCCCTTGAATCACAAACTTTCTCTTAAACAATTATCAGTCAAGCTGTTGATGCAGCTTTGTTTACTTTCAAGTAAACGTGTTGCTGATGTCAGAATGTTGTACTGGCAAGTTTGCGTTTTTGTTCCAAACCGAGTATCCTTTAATGTTTCACGTAGGGGGAAATCCTCGACTAAGGAGTTTTTTTTTTACCCGTCGTTTCCAGACAACCCAAACCTGTGCCCAGCATTATGTCTTAAGGAATAGGAACGCCGTACGTTCTCTCTCCATTCAAATCAACTCCATTCATTATTTATCTCCTTTCGAGTGCTGCATTTACCAGGGTTTGCAGGCATAGACACTTCGATTTTTTTCTTCCCATTCCATTCGTACGGGCTATGGCTTCTATGATAGGTTGTAGATTGGAAGACGTCCTACCAGCGGCTGATTGGTCAAATGAATTTACGTTTCGTAATTTCTATTTTCGCCCGGTGCAACATATTTCCAGTATGGTGGATGCTCAGGTTTAAAATAGCATAATACTCACCTCGGTGTCTTTAATAAAATTACCAGATTTTACGATTATCATGACGTACAGTCATGATTTTATTAATGACACAGGGGTGTGTATTATTCCCACCCTACCTGTGTTGGTGGTTAATTTATAGGTCATTCATTGGGCCTTTTGGATGGTACGACATGGTAGGTACAAATATCATGCATGGCATTTATATGATACTTAACGATTAACATTGTTGACGAGTTTGATAGCAGTGGCCTAACAATCGCAAGCTTTCAATATTACCATATAGTTTATTTTCTTCTACCTAGAATATACCTTCAAGAGTTGGTGGTTGTTTTTCCTGGTTGAATTTCCGGATGAATGTTTTGAGAGTTGAGTTTTTTGTTGGAATACTTTGATATACTAATGGTCTTTGGAATCTACACAGAAAGAGGAGTCAAGTAGCACCACACCCATATGGACAGTACTAAATCCTGATTGGTGTCAGTGTTACTATGCTATTGTTATGTTTTTTTCTATGAATCTCTCAGACTTCCTTCCTTGCTGCTGGGAGTAAAAGAAATAATGCATAATACTAGCCTCTGTGTCATTAATAAAATCATGACTTTATGTCATTTTAACCCCTTAAGGACACATGACATGTCATGATTCCCTTTTATTCCAGAAGTTTGGTCCTTAAGGGGTTAATAGTAAAATCTGGTTATTATTAGCCTCAAATACACATATTATATATGTGCATCTTAGTTAAGAAAGTTATTTATTGGTTTGTACGTTTACTGTGGCACTGGTAGCAAGTCTGTTTCTTTACATTTATAAGATGTACAATATAAGAGTATAAATGACACATTCAATATTGTTATTTCTCCCACATACATTCTGTATGTTACCCAATAATACGGTACAATATTAACCCCTCTCCTCCCCCCCCAAAAAAAACCCACAACACATTTCTAAAGCCTTTAAACGGACTCTCCAGTGCCAGGAAAACAATCAGTTTTCCTGGCACTGTAGGTCCCCTCTCCCTCCCACCTCCCAATGTCCCTCTGCGGTGGTTTCGGGTCGCCGCCGCTCCTCCTCCTCTTCATTACGTCGGCCAGTGGGCAAGACTGATCCCAGCCACCGGCCACAGAGACCTAATGCACATGTGCGGCAATGCCACGCATGCACATTAGAGCTCTCCATAAAAAAGCATTGAAAATGCTTTTCATTGCTTTCCTATGGGGAATTGAGCGACACTGGAGGTCCTCACACAGCGCGAGGACGTCCAGCGACGGTCTAGCACAGGTTTTCTGTGCTATGGACCAGGAAGTGCCCTCTAGTGGCTGTCTAGTAGACAGCCACTAGAGGTGGAGTTAACCCTGCAAGGTAATTATTGCAGTTTATAAAAAAACTGCAATAATTAAACTTGCAGGGTTAGGGTTAGTGGGAGTTGACACCCAGACCACTCCAATGGGCAGAATGGTCTGGGTGCCTGGAGTGTCCCTTTAAACTTGTAAACAACTTTACCACAGGTTATTTTGACTTTTCTCTGGAGTTATGTTCAGAACTCTTGAGGATTACTATAACTAATGCTCAAGATAAATAGCTTGCTAAATATCATATGGATAATTTTCTTAACATCTTAGGTAACCTAATACTATTTAAACAAATAAAAAAACCTTCATATTTGCAGATGATTTATACTGAAATAAAGCAGGTCTTACTAAGTTTACATGTTAAATTACTGGTTGTTGAATTTTGAAACAAAATACGTACATGGCATTATCTTTGTGACCCATACCCCAATTTTTAAATCTCTAAGAGACCAATTTGTTAACTGTACAAACACCATTACTAGAAATTTGCCAGCGACAGAGAAGTCTCTCTTAGAAAGCCAGTTCTGCCACAGTAAGTAATATATATGAAGTAGTGATGTCCCGAACTGTTCGCCGAACGGTTCGCCACGGACTCCAGTCAGCAGACACATTCAAGCCAATCAGCAGCAGACCCTCCCTCCCAGACAGCTCACTAAGAATGCAGCTTTAAAATGGATGCTGTTCAGGAGGTGGGAGGGTCTGGGAGAGAGGGTCTGCTGCTGATTGGCTGGAATGTGTCTGCTGACTGGAGTCCGCGGCGAACCGTTCGTGGCAAACTGTTCGTGAACCGTTCGGCACATCACTAATTAGAAGTAGTGGCTTGGGATTTAATGAGTGATGATACAACCACAGGTAAGTAGTACTCTGACACAGGTACCCGAATTCTGGTGTCTGGGATCACCTAGTCTCTTACCTTCGGTAAGAATCAAATTCGAAAGAGTGCAGAGGGGGGGCTACAATATTAATATAAGGAATGGAACATTTTGGCTATGAATAAAGGTGAACAAATTTAAACCTCTTAAGTTTAGAAAAACATTACCTCAAAGGGGATATGATAACATTATACAAATATATTTGTGGCCAGTACAAACCATTATGTGGAAATCTATTCACAAACAGGACTATACATAGACACGAGGTTGTGCGTTTAGACCAGAAGAAAGAAGATTTAGTCTAAGGCAAAGGAAAGGGTTATTTACAGTAAGAACTGTAAGGATGTGGATTTCTCTGCCTGAAGAAGTTGTTTTATCAGACTCCGTACAGATGTTCAAACAGCAACTAGATGCATACTTGCAAAAACAGAATATTCAAGTATATAATTGTTCAATGTAGGTTAAATGCTTCTTGATCCAAGGATTAATCTGACTGCTGTTCTGAGGTCAAGAGGGAATTTTTTCACATAATTTGTTGCAAAATTGGAAGTGTTTCAAACTGGGTTTTCTGCCTTCTTTTAGATCAACAGCATAAAACAGATGCGAGGAAGGCTGAACTTAATGGACACATCTCTTTTCAGCCTATGTAACTATTTGACTCTTAACCAGGGAACAGTGCCAGGGGACTCCTAACACCATAACTACTAAAGTGTGTAACAGTGATTATTAGTGAAACTATTTTTACCTATTACACAGGTATAAGGGTTCTACAGTGGAATTTGCAGTCTGAAACTAAATCAAAGTGTTTCAGAGCTAGTCAGTATTATAAAGCGTATGGTCATGGCATCATCTTGAAGATTGAATATAAATGCAGCCTGGACCATATTATTACTTACATGTAGGAATCACCTTAACATTAACCTTATGAATATTATTTGTAAAGATCTAACAAATTCTGCAGTGCAATGGGTAAAGAAAATCTAGGCATACAAGCTTAAAGGGACACTATAGGCACCCAGACCACTTCAGCTCAATGAAGTGGTCTAGGTGCCAGGTCCCTCAGGTTTTAACCCTGCAGACGCAAACATAGCAGTTTCAGAGAAACTGCTATGTTTACATTTGGGGTTAAGCCTGCCTCTAATGGCTGTCTTCCGGACAGCCACTAGAGGCACATCTGTGACGCTGGAGGCATTTAACCCCTCCATCACGCAGAGCGTCCATAGGAAAGCATTGAAAAATGCTTTCCTATGGACACTTTGAATGCGCGCGCAGCACTGCCGCACATGCGCATTCCGCTCCACTGACATCGGCGAGGGAGGAGAGGTAAGGGAGCCCGGCAGTGGAAGAAGGTGAGTAACTGAAGGGGTTTTAACGCGCCACGGGAGGGGGACCTTGAGGATGGGGGCACCCTCAGGGTACTATAATGTCAGGAAAACCGATTTGTTTTCCTGACACTATAGTGATCCTTTAAGAATATTATAGGGTGACTGTTAAATGTACATAAAACACAAATATAGTGTCAACAAATAAAATGTAATTTAAGCAAACCGGTGAGTAAATAAAAATAGTGCAAGAGTTAGGTAATACAGTTTAAAAATCAGTTTGGGGCTTACAAAACTGAATTTAAATGTGAAACAGCATAAACCCAGTTTTTTCTTCTTTTAACAGACATCTAGTATAATTAACCCTGGTGGCTGGGTTAATTAATGAAGTTTGAGCCAAGTCCTGAAGCTGGCCTTGAGACATCACTTACTACAAAGGACTCACCAGGCCATATGCCATGCTTCTCTCATGTTCTTGTGTTATATCGGCCACATATGCAAACACCACAGAAAAGGTGACTGCAAAGACGCCAGAGACAGAGATAACTGCAAAGTACCACCTGCAAAATCCAAGAAACCATGTCAGAGCCTGTTGCATACATATAAGAGTAGTGACATTCAAATGCAGAGGACTACTGTCTCACAGTGCCCCTTACCATGGACTAATCTTCATCAGTGGAATTGGAGCACACGTGAAGAATACAGTAAGCAGCAGAAAGGATTTTCTCCCCCACACATCCGAGAGAGCCCCAATTAGAGGAGCACTAAGGAAAGACAATAAACCCTGTGAGGAAGAGAAAATAACAGCTTAATAGTAATTAGAGACTGCAGTACAAACCCTTAGCATATGACCTGATTGTAAGCTGCAGGTCCCCACTTGCACAAATAATTGCATGACCTTATGATGTATCTTACTAAACAGGTTTTATGAAGACAGAATGCAGTAGCATGATGTGTTTCCCTGCTATAGAAAAGAGACAATATTCACACACTGCTCTGACTCAGAAGGCATTTACGAAACCTAAACGCCCTTTTAAAGATAGATTAATTTACGTATTGAAAAAAGGTTCAGGAATAAAATATCAGCAGTGTTTTCATTTTGCAGTAATTTAAAATATATAATGCTTTCAGAAAGACCGTAAGCAAATCACCCTACTAAAACATAAAATGATGCTCCAAGGAATAACGTGTTATAGTTGTTTTACAACTGGATAGCCAAGTGAGACATCCTAACAGTACAGAACATACAAGGGGATCACAGGATTCAAAAGGCCTGCAAACAGTAGGAATTATTTATATCACACGTTTCACAGAATGCTCTAATCCATTATTATTAGGACACTCAGGCAACACCGCTGTTAAACAATGCATGGATTGCCCACAACACAATGGTAAAATATTTTTTTTTTCCCATTAAACAACAAAATTAGAAAGGAGATGCATTTGAAACTTTTTTCTATATTAGCTACTTTGGTCTAAATTTTCGTTTTGAAACTATTTTTTTTTATTTTTTTATTTTTGTTGTGCATAGGAATTACAGCAGTGCTTGTATAGCAATAGTACCTTTCACAAGCGCGGTTTTCATTGGATGTAACATAAACATGGCTTGTAGATATCTTGCACATTTTTTAGAATAATATGTCATGCTAGGTTAAGTATGCGTATAACTTTGAGTATCATAGATAAGTACACTTTTGCTTATAGTGAAATATGCAGGTCTCGTGTTAAGCATAATAAGAAAAAATAATAAAATAGGCAAGCTTTTTACACACGTTATAGACTGAAGCTTAAAACATTAGCAGTGTGAACAGTGTGTGGGGGGATGTGGAGGCATGGGACTCAAATCTTAATGACTTAGGGCCCTGTTTAATCAGGTTAGTATTTTTTGTCTAAATGGACATTGCATGGCTTACTTGTCTGGCATTGACCATTAGAGATAACATACCAGAAGAAAATTAAACATGCTTGCACTTAAATCAACAAGGTTGGTGCAGAATAAGCAGGATAGTGTCCGCTGGGATAACATGAACGTGGTGATAAGGCAGCAGGCTAGCCCCCAGTGTGTTACCGACTCCCATAATCGGCACGCTCATGGTGCCTGGAAGTGAGGCATAGGTGGTTTTCAGAGGTAGTGTCCACAGGTCAGTATTGCTTCTCCTGGCTGGGGTCTGTATGCGATTTCCTCTGGAAGAAGGAGGGCTTGTCGTGTGATGGTGGTCTCGCCGCGGCTCGATTTCCCGGCTCTCTGGCTCCGGGCCTTAGCGAGAGCCCTCGCCTTGGGTCCATGGAGCTTCCCAAACACGGTGGTTGGCTCGGGGGCCCGCGGGTTCTCCCTGTCCTGGCGCAAGTCTGTCTGCCAGCCGGCCTCAGAGTGATCGCAGGCTGCAAGGTCGGTTTAGTGCCCTTTCGTGGGTCAGATGAGACTATTTGGGTTGCCATTTTTTAAGCTTTTAGGGCTGAAGAGTCGTATTTTCGTATTTTTATTCAGAGGATCTCTGCAGTGGCACGTCTATCTTCTGTGCTGGTCAGGCCCCAGCCGACGAAACTTGGTTTTTTTTTAAATTCACACTTTAGTGAATAAATCATGTAGTGCAGAATGCAGGCTTTCATGGTGGTACCACCAAAGCATCCAATGCATATTGGAAATTTACAAATCATGGTTTGCTACCTTTACACATGTGCTAAGTTTCAAGCGCTAAAATGATATAGCAAATACAAGTGCAAATGCTGTAGAGATCAGTTAACCCCACAAATATGGACTGTTTAATTTAAAGAGTAATTTGAGTCTTAAGCAATTAGCAAGACGCAAATGTACTTGCCAGCTTATATACATAAGTGAACAGTTTATATAATATATTGGCCCTTTGCGGGCTCAATATTATAGTAACACCTCCCCCCACCACCCAATAGCCATTTCTCTTCCAAAAATAATTAAATTTTTTAATGATTTTAAAATAATTATTTCTCAAATGAACACTATAGTCACCAGAACAACTACAGCTTAATGTAGTTGTTCTGGTGAGTATCATCAGTCACTGCAGACATTTTCATGTAACCCTGCCTTTTCATAGAAAAGAGTGTTTACATTTCCCCCTAGGGACACCTCCACAGGCCACTCCTCAGATGGCCACTGCCATTCAGCATCTCATGCTGAACTTTTCTCATAGGAATGCATTGATTCAATGCATCTTTATAAGGAGGTGCTATTTGGCCAAACCAGCGTGGGGCCCCGTCCTGCATTCACCCAATCCAGAAAATTGGATTGGCTGGAATCATACATTTTGATGTCCGCAAGAAGATGAGGAAGCGCCGTCGGGCCTGCGTGCTTCTTGAAATAAGGTTTTATTACCTTTTAAGGTGACTAAGGGGGAGTTTTTAACTATAGGGTCAGGAATACATGTCTGTGTTCATGACCCTATAGTGTTCTTTTAAGTGTAAATGCAGTAGTGGAGTTCAAAGTGACACCTCAAACTATGCAGCTAATATTTCTTGTTAGCACTTCCTTAATTTACTTAGACCTGTCATGTGTTCACCTTTCATCAAGGTTCCTCACAATTGTCTGGAACTTCCACTCACCAGAGAACTGAGCCTAAATTATGGCACAAACTAAACTTATAAGACATCAATTGCGATGACTTATAAATAAACGAATACAAAAACCATTACTTTTAAACTTGAACTGGCTCATAAAAATTGCTCAATTTTTAAAATCACACAGATCACAACACCAGAACAAAAAAATATCCTCACCTTTACTCCTTGAATGAGTCCATTCATCAGAAATGTGTGTTTAGGAAATGTCTCACGTAAAACCTACACGGGGGAAATACAACACATGGGATTAATATAGTTTAGAACACATTTACATCCAGGATTCTAAGCAGACAGCATGTGCAAAAACAGGAAGTAGTTGTGACTCATTATGTACTTGGGGACAAGCCTGTGCCACAGGTACCAGGCTCATAGAAATCAATATGCAAAGCAACTACCAGTCTCAAATGACAGACATACATTGTAACTATCAATATAGAATTTAAATCAGAACAGATTTTTATTGACTTTAAAATTCATCCAGACTTAATATAAGAAAGAAAGCCTAGCTTTCAACAAAAACAAACAAAAAAAAACCTGGTTAAATACACCTTTAGAGGCTGTATTCCTAACAGTCACTAGAGGTGCTCCCTCATCCAGAAGCGAGTGAAATTTGATCCTGGAATCAAATGCATTTTGTCGTGCATGTGTATCTCCAACCCAAGCAAATCCCGGAAGGTGAATGTCAACAGGCATGCTGATAACACGGAGAGACACAGAGCAGTAGCAAATGAGGCCAGAGCTGGAGAGTAGGTGAGCAATTGTTAACTTTTTTTAATTTTTTTTTTTTTTAAATGGCAAAGAAAATGGACATAAGGGAACCTATAGTCCTGAAAATATATATTTAAAAACAAACAAAAAAAACCCCAAAAACTAATATATATATAAAAAAAAAAATAAAAAAATTTATATATATATATATACACACACACACACACACACACACACACACACACACACACAAGTTATATGGATATTTAACATATAGAAAACTGTGCTGACACACTATTGGCAAACAAACATTTGCAATGAGTCTCTCAGTGCGACACGACGACAGCCTGAGTAAACAAGGAAAGAATCACAGTGTATGCAAATGGGCACACAGAGCATCTTAGGAAAATAATGTGTCAAATGTCCAGAAAATAAGCAGATGGGAGTTTTTATATTTTCACCACATACCCCAACTCAATACAAGCCAATATGAGCTTAATAATGGTCAAATAAAATAATGAAAAAAAATCTAAATATATTGCAGGACTGACAGTCACACAGAATGATGCACACAGAGTTTCAGTGTCTCAATATGAGTAGATGTGGACTAGCATGGTGTGGTGATTTTCTGCAAATGCACACTAGCCTGACAATGTCTCAGCCAGGGAGGTAAGGTGGCTGCGGTTAGACTGACACCGAGTAAAATATTTGGTTTGGTGATATTGTTTTGGGGAGGGTAACACTATAGACTTAGAAATACATGTTTGCATTTCTAACAGTATACTGTTTAATTATATAACCCCATTTTTGTGCAAGCACGACATTAAAGGACCACTCTAGGCACCCAGACCACTTCAGCTTAATGAAGTGGTCTGGGTGCCAGGTCCAGCTAGGGTTAACCCATTTTTTCATAAACATAGCAGTTTCAGAGAAACTGCTATGTTTATGAATGGATTAAGCCTTCCCCCTAATCCTCTAGTGGCTGTCTCATTGACAGCCACTAGAGGCTATTGCGTGCTTCTCACTGTGATTTTCACAGTGAGAGCACGCAAAGCGTCCATAGGAAAGCATTATGAATGCTTTCATATGTGACCGGCTGAATGCGCGCGCAGCTCTTGCCGCGCATGCGCATTCAGCCCAGGAGGAGGAACGGAGGAGGAGAGCTCACCGCCCAGCACTGGAAAAAGGTAAGTTTAACCCCTTTTCCCCTTTCCAGAGCCGGGCGGGAGGGGGTCCCTGAGGGTGGGGGCACCCTCAGGGCACTATGGTGCCAGGAAAACGAGTATGTTTTCCTGGCACTATAGTGGTCCTTTAACCATAATACAATTGAAGTAAAATCTAAAATAATCATATTAGCCAATGCACACTGGCTCTTGGTGACTCCTGAGCACAGATAATTAAAATAATTAACCCCAGGATCTCACAAACACATACATATTTACCAAAGTGAGAATCGTTGGGAATTCTAAGTGGATTTCAAACGCAAGGCAAAAAGATTTGTATTGGAAAAATGCTCCACATCAGCTGTGCTTCAAATTTGGCTATTTTGGTCTAAATTTAAATTCACAACAATTCTCACTTTAGTAAATAACCTAAGTGCTCTGTCATTCAGTCTATTTTCACTGATCATATGTTACATTATAAAATTCTATTTATAAAATTACAAAATAACCCCAATGTACCTGCTTCATATTGTGGGGGTGGCAGAATATCTTCTTTCTATGTATAAATTTGGTTAGCTACATTTATGGTGTTTTTTTTTGCCATTGTTCCTTGGACTTTTTGTCCCATTACAGCTTTTCCGGCAGACGTACACTAGTTCTATTTGTGTGTGCATGCGCTGAGAGCGACGACCCAGAAGGTGTCAGAGAAGTCCACATTGAACTCACTAGAAGTCCGTCATTGCAGCTCAAGCCAAACCCATATGGATCTCATTTCTCATCACTACCAGCCTATGTATACTGACTCCTCGCCAACAATGAATATACATCACTGAAGAAGTCCTGCCTTAAAGACGAAATGCATTGAATTACATCTAATTGGGCTTTTATTTCGCAGTTGGTTATTAGATTTTATTTTTTTTACTGCTATTTCCTCACCAGTTTTGGCTAATTCTGCTTGTTGTTCAAAGCCTATATCTTGCTGGATTACCACTATTGGTGGAGATATGCCTATATATAATTTTTACATTCTTGTAAGTGCAATACAATAAATATTCAATTGTTTTAATTGTATTCCACTATTGTGTTCCCTATAGAAGATCTACATCCCAGTACCCTTAAAAGGGTGATGAGCATGAATTTCTCGTTTGTGAGTGTTCTACTTTATACACGCCAGCATATTTTTTTTATTACTGTACTACGCTATGTATTAATGATTTTTTTTAGATCACATATTTTAGTTGATCGTTTCTCCAGGTTGTTGTACTTCCTTTTTGTTTATATGTATTGAGTTTTTTCCCACATTCCTTACATTTTGGACAAATAACCGCAAACCTCAACGATAAGGCCAATGACGGAAAAATAAATGGGGTTTCTAAATTAAAGGTGGAGAGGAAAGACGCAAGGCATTTTGGATGTGAACCACCTTTCAGCAAGATTTATTTGATGTGCTCAATGCTTGTTTTCCTCTAAACAAATGGGAATATATATGAAACTGATAAGGTAGTGTGCCACTCTAAGGCAAGAAGAGTGAACATATTGTTGAGGAAATGTGTCTACAAACAATAAGATGCCCTTTTGCTATATTCAAGCTACCCCAAACCTATATTACTAAGTGGCAGGGAACAAATGTCAGGCTCACTATGGAATTTCCCTCAGTTCCAGTAACTGTCCTTCCAATTACCAGTTCAGAGTATTTACATGGGTTTACAGAAGTTTACCAATTATTTTGGCCTGCCCAGAAAGTGTTTGAATCCAGTTCCAATACGTCAGACAATCCGTTCCTTAATTTAATCAGACACTATGATAAACTAAAGATGACGGACACCTTGGAAATAGGCTGAATTACGGGCACGAGGCTTCAGATATGTGGGGTTGCTCTAGGCTTTTAGCTAGTCATCCTCTAGTTAAAAAGCATGTTATGTTAGTTCATGCCAGGTGCCACAGATAATTTAAGCTTAACCAATACAGAACACTGATGTACGATTCTTACTATTCACCCAAACAAAGTATTGGTGTTTCATTCCAATCACTCACATTCACTGACATGGCTATTTGCTCATTTAAAGGTGTTGGCTATTAATCATATAGCTATATGTCACAGTTCTAGCTTGTATTATTATTATGCAGTTTGTCATATCCATGTCTCTATTAAGCCATATATCCTTTCAAGTAGCATTTAGACATGAATGTTTTACTCTTGATATTGATTTAAAACAAAAAGTGCAAATCTCTCAATATAACTTGTTATGTACCTGCAATTTATCTTGCTGCATTTACTACTATTGTTATGTATTTGCAAGCTTGTACACCAATCTAAGCACTACAAAAATAAGAAATATATTATATATATACATATATATACACAAACACACACACAAAAAATAGATAGAGATAGTGGATACAGAGAATGTGTGTGCACGTGTGTGTAGTGGACGCAGTGTCTTTGTAGTAGATGTTGTGTAGTGGGTGCAGTGCCTGTATAGTTGGAGCAGTGCATCCAGTACCTGTGTGCAGTGCATGTGTTTTTTTTTTTTTTAAATGTATGATTAAAATTTATGATTAAGTGTATTTCCCCCTCACTGCCTCTCAGGGAGCAGAACACTATTTTCCATGGTGGTCCAGTAGCACATTTTGCTGTGTACTGTGGAGAGGGGGCCCAGAATCCTGATGTTTCCCTCCTGCAGCTTCCGGTCTTCTCTTCTCGCGAGCGTTGCCGCGTTTTGCTATAGTAACGTTCTGCGCGACAAGTAAGGCAACGCTCTCGCGGTGTTACGAGAAGACAGTAAGCTGCAGGAGGGCAACATCAGACTTCTGGTTCCCCTCTCCATAGGACAAGGCAGCGGGGGCCCAGAACTGCATATATATGTAGCGGTAATCGCTATTTATATATACAGAGGCAACCCAAGCTCCATAGCAGCCACATTACAGTGTCCAAAGGCGGCATTTTGCCGCCCCTGTAAAAGTGCTGTTTGGAGCCGTGGGCCCACTGCTGCCAATGGACAAGCCGGCCCTGGGTGTGAGGGACTTAAATGGACCAAAAACACTACAGCTTAATGTAGTACTTCTGTTCTCTATAGCCTGTCCCTGCAGGTCTTTTCATATAAACACTGCCTTTTCAGAGAAAATGCAGTGTTTACATTGCTGCCTAGAAACAACTCTAGTGGCAGTCACTCAGACAGCCACTAGAGATGCATCCTAGTTCTCCATAGAGATTAATCTCTATGAAGAGATGCTGATTTGCACAGTGTGGTATTTTGCTGAGCATGTGCAAAGAGGCAGAGGCATGTGATGCAAGAGGGGCTAGGAACCTAAATAGGTAAAAATATAGTGTCAGGAGGGGGCAGGGCTGGGCCACTGACTGAGCAGGAGGCAGGTTGAAGGAGCTCCACAGCCTAAATACTTTTCAAAGCGAAAAAAAAAGGACAATCTACCCCCTAATTCCTCCTGACATGGGCATGCATCGACAGGGGAGTGTATGGGCAACCTATGGGGGTGAAACCTTGAAGGCAGAGCGCACTCTTGAAGATGAGGGCTCCCTGCAACTTCCTACAAGGCGGGGGATGCGGCCGGTCCCCCGTCCATCATCCACCCCAGGCCCTGCTGGGCTACATGCTGAGGTCCCCCGGACATGGTGGGAGATGCCGCAACGACAAATTGAGAGTAGAGCGGCGGCTCACAAAATGGCGGATGCACCCGCGCCTGTGATACGGGACCCAGTGCTGCTTCAAGCCTACCTCATGGACCCCTTTAGCCACATTGAAGAGCGTCTGGAAGCAGCCTTCAACTGAATAAAAAAAATAAAAAATATAGTGTCAGGAATATAGGTTTGTGTTCCTGACACTGTAGTGTTCCTTCAAAGGGATCACATCTGCAGATCTCTCTTGGTAAATAGAAGTTCAAAGACCCACCTGTTTCAAATTATTTAACCCCTTAAGGACTGGACTGTTTTTGCGATGTTGTACATTTGCGACCAGGAATATTTTTACACTTTTGTGGTGTTTGTGTTTGGCTGTAATTTTCCGCTTTCTCATTTACTGTTTCCATACAAATTATATATTGTTTTTTTCAGGACAAAATGGGCTTTCTTTACATACCATTATTTATATAATCTCATGTATTTTAATTTAAAAAAAATACAAAAATCTGATGAAAAATTGAAAAAAATACATGTTTTTGACTTTTACTTGAAAAATCTTTTACTCATCTACAAAAGCGAATGAAAAAAACTGCTAAATAGATTCAAAATTTTGTCCTGAGTTTAAAATACCTAGTGTTTACGTGCTTTTTTGCTTTTTTTTGCATGTTATAGGGCTATAGGTACAAGTAGGATATTGCGGTTTAAAAACATACATTTTTAAAATTTATCAATAGTGACATTGTAACACTATTATCTGTCATAAATCTCTGAATAACACCCCACATGTACATATTTTTTTTAAAAGTAGACAACCCAGGGTATTCAATATGGGGTATGTCCAGTCTTTTTTAGTAGCCACTTAGTCGAAAACACTGGCCAAAGTAAGCATTCATATTTGTTTGTGTGTGAAAAAAGTAAAAAAACTAAATTGAACGCTAATTTTGGCCAGTGTTTGTGACTAAGTGGTTACTAAAAAAGACTGGACATACCCCATTTGCAATAGCTTGGGTTGTCTTCTTTTGCAAATGGTATGCCATCATGGGGTAATTCTCATTCCTGGGCTACCATACGCTCTCAAAGGCAACGTAACCAACCTGGCCATTTTCAATGTAAAATATTTGACCCATATATTTGACCTTGTAACTTTCAAAAATGCTATAAAACCTGTACATGGGGGGTACTGTTTTACTCGGGAGACATCGCTGAACACAAATATTAGTGTTTAAAAACTGGAAAGCGTATCACAACAATTATATCATCAGTAAAAGTGCTGTTTGTGTGTGAAAAATGCAAAAAAAGTAACTTTCACTGACAATATCATCGCTGTGATATGTTTTACTGTTGTGAATCACTAATATTTGTGTTCAGCGAAGTCTCCCGAGTAAAACAGTACCCCCCATGTACAGGTTTTAGGGTGTCGTAGAACATTACAGGGTAAAATACAGTGCTAGCAAATTAAATTCTCTGGAATTTCGGCCTGGGTTGGCAGGCAGGTCCCTCAAATTGCAATCAATAAAATTACTGAATTATGTAAAATATTACATAAATACGCACGTAGAATTTAAATATATATGCATATTTATATATTTGAAGTCTACGTGTATATTTATATAATTATTTATGTAATTTTGTATATGGGCGTATGTATATTTCTTATTATTTTTATTTATTTTTATATACATAGATATATATACAAATTCATTTTAAGTGTATTTTGATATAAATATATATATATTAATTTTAAAATACAGTTAGAATAAAATTTCATATAGCTATATAATTTTTTTACATTTTTTTATTATTATTTTAAAAAATTTTTAATTAATTTTAATTACTTATTATTTATATTTTATAATAATATATATATATACAATATATATAGTTATTATATATATTATATATATACACGTGTGTAATTTAATTATAAGTGTATTTTTATATTAATATAAGTACATATTAATATAAAAATACACTTAGTATGGCATTATATATATGATATATAGACATATTATATAGATATAATATATGTCTATATATCATATTTATACATATATAATTATTATTATTTTTTTTATTACCATTAACTTTAATTTATTTTTTGATTTTACAGTTGCAGGGAGACTGCCTGTCAGTACAGGCAGTCCCCCTGCAGGCAGACACATGGACACCTATTGTGACCATGTGATCGCTGTGTTAAGCGATCACATGGCCACAGGGGTCCTAATCTGCCGTGGGGAGACTGTCTGTGCTGCAGGCAGTCTCCCCACAACCGGAGGAACACTGATCGCCGCCGGGGGAACGACGGCGATCAGGTAAGTACCCCCAGACCGTTTGGACGGTTCAGGACCGTCATCGGTCCTCAAGGCAAAAATGCCGATGACGGTCCTGAACCGTCCTCGGTCCTTAAGGGGTTAACAATGATTTGCCAGGTGCCTCCTTGCACAGGTAGCCATACATTGCAGAAAACAGAAATAAGACTGAATTTATTTTGTGTGACCCCTACTGAAAACATGAAGCAAAATCTGCATTCTTCCTGCATTTGGTAAACATCAGACTCCTATAATTTTTTTTTTATATATAATTCACTTTTGTTGTCTATAAAACAACTAGACATTTAATTTTCCATATCACAAGTATACTTTGGTGTAAATTGCTAAATGTAACCCTGAATTTCCATAATATCCAAATTACAAAAAAAAACAACAACAAAAAAAAAAAAACAAGTGTTTGTCAAAATCTGCTAGCACTCCAACAAACTATCCACACTTTCCCTGTCCAGGGTTTTGGTTGTTCTGAAAAGCTGCTCCAGAACTCCTGGAACCACAACTTTTATTTCCGGACACGAAAGGCTCGTTAAGTAAACAAGGTGACACAAACAAATGGCATATAGGAAAACAATAAAGCAAGCAGAGTGAACTGGTTTGCAAGCCGGGTTTTGGCTCTGAGCCGTGCCAATATATTGAAGGGAAGCCTATTAGCCAGAACAACATTGAACTTTTATTAGAAACACTTTTTAACATTGGAAACAAAAACAACCAAGAAAGCTACATTAAAGGGCTCAAGAATCCACGTATTTAGCTTTAGACTACAAATGAAAGATCCTGCACCCTCACAGAATAGATATGCGAAAGGTGAACAATGGTTTAAAAAAAAAAAAGACCATAACAAAAGCAGACTGATTTGTGCAGTTGGTGCTACATTTTAATGCATTGATGACTGGATGAAAGAGAGCAGACCTGGTCAACACATGCACAAGTAACGAGTGCAGTCGCTGGCACAGAGGACATGTTAGAGAGGCATGCATGCCCAATGGTGTGGTATTCAAGTTAACATCTGATGAAGCACTTAAACATACTGAAATGTGTAACTTCTGTGAGTGCATGGCATGACAAACATGGTGTATGCAGATTTAAAGTGAACACACAAAAAAGGAAATTCTCACATTTCCATTGGGTTAGTTTCAAGGAAGAAATCATATTCTACAAATGTATTCACTTTCAACTATAAATTCTATATTACCAAAAGTCCTAAACCAAACTGATGAGAACAGTCATTGCTAAAATCCTAATGCAATTTATAAAAGAATTTAAACACAAACATGTACAAAGCACACCTCCAATAATACAAAGATTATTAACTGCGGCAGAAAGAAAGCAGGTAGGCATTATTTTGAGATCTCATAAAACACAGTGGGAATAAAACACCATATTCTTAATCTACCTCTGTAAATCAATTTTAAGAATAAAACAGAAACATGACATAAGGGCTCTTAGCAACGTAGGCAACTAATAACTGGGATACAATATGTAAACAAAAATAATTGTGTGTTAGCATAAATCAATCATTCCATCAATCCAACTGACTTACCACCAGGGTTGGCGCAGTCAGCAAACCCCAAGCAAAAAACTCAAGGAAGATCACGATGACAGCATGGTAAACACTTGGAGAGCCAAACCCCTGAGGCTGTAGACAAAAGAAAAATAACAGCAAATATTAAGGCTTGTATTTAATGTAAAATGAAAGAGGTCCAGGCACTCCTTGGTTCAAGACAGGCACTTTTATTGCAACCACAGCAGCAACGTTTCGACCCAAGGGTCTTTATCAAGCTTGCAATAAAAGTGCCTGTCTTGAACCAAGGAGTGCCTGGACCTCTTTCATTTTACTCTAATATATTGGGAATTTGGTGTTTAACCCTAATACAGCAAGCACCCTGGCTCGGATTGATAGGAGTGAGTGCAGTTGCACACATACTACAAAAGGCTTGTATTTAATGACACAAAAGAAGGTGCATTTTATTAGGGTACACATTTTTACTTAATGCACCAATCTCAACACACCATCTCCCAAGTTTTGTCACATTGTTTGGGAGTAGTTTGACAAAAGGCAGCACTCTCAGTCAGAATTAAACATGATTGGGTAGAGGTTATTATTTGTCAAACTGCTTGAGAAGATGCTATAGCGGTTGTGATGGCTATGTTGTCCCTTTACAACTATTCTGTCAATAAACAGAGGATAATTGTTTGCTAAGGAAAGTATAAAAATCTTCAAATATATTCTCCATAATATTATACACAAGTTTTGTTTTTTTTATGGATCTGTGCATATATAACACCTGGCACCCAAACCATATATATTTTCTGCATGGGAGCTGCCAAAATACACACTGAGGCATATAGACTGCTCAGATCATTGATAGTCACCCAATGCTAAACAAAGGAAGTGACTTGTTTAATAGCCCCATTCCCTTCCCCAGCTCTGTATATAACAAGCCCCATTCCTCCCCCAGCTCTGTATATAACAAGTCCCCATCCTCCCTCCCAGCTCTGTATATATAAAGCCCCATTCCTCCCCCAGCTCTGTATATAACAAGCCCCATTCCCCCCAGCTCTGTATATAACAAGCCCCCATTCCCCTGCTCCCCATATAGTATAACAAGCCCCATTCCCTCCCCCAGCTCTGTATATAAGCCCCATTCTCCCCAGCTCCAGCTCTGTATATAACAAGCCCCATTCCCCTCTGTATAACAAGCCCCATTCCCCCTCTGTATATAACAAGCCCCATTCCCCCCCTGTATATCCCCCTGTATATAATAAGCCCCATTCCCCTCTGTATATAACAAGCCCCATTCCCCTATGTATATAACAAGCCCCATTCCCCCTCATTTTACTCTAATATATTGGGAATTTGGTGTTTAACCCTAATACAGCAAGCACCCTGGCTCGGATTGATAGGAGTGAGTGCAGTTGCACACATACTACAAAAGGCTTGTATTTAATGACACAAAAGAAGGTGCATTTTATTAGGGTACACATTTTTACTTAATGCACCAATCTCAACACACCATCTCCCAAGTTTTGTCACATTGTTTGGGAGTAGTTTGACAAAAGGCAGCACTCTCAGTCAGAATTAAACATGATTGGGTAGAGGTTATTATTTGTCAAACTGCTTGAGAAGATGCTATAGCGGTTGTGATGGCTATGTTGTCCCTTTACAACTATTCTGTCAATAAACAGAGGATAATTGTTTGCTAAGGAAAGTATAAAAATCTTCAAATATATTCTCCATAATATTATACACAAGTTTTGTTTTTTTTATGGATCTGTGCATATATAACACCTGGCACCCAAACCATATATATTTTCTGCATGGGAGCTGCCAAAATACACACTGAGGCATATAGACTGCTCAGATCATTGATAGTCACCCAATGCTAAACAAAGGAAGTGACTTGTTTAATATGCAACCAACAGAAATAAACTAGGTTCCCTGTACAGTGTTCATTGAAATAACTTGCATGAAATGTCCTGTATGTGATTAAAGAAGGCAGTTACTCCAACCACTATTACCACTTCAGTGATTTGAAGTGGACACAGTGATAGGAGTTTCTATTCAAAAGACTGAATTATCTGCATTTGTGTGCAGGGGAGAAGCTGCACCCACAGCACAATGTTGCCCAATGTCAATTCTATGCATTAAAAAAAAAAAAAAAAAAAAGGACTGACATAAGCGCATTGCATGATGCAGACAGGAATGAAATATTTTCACCTTGTAGGCAGAGTGCCTATAAGGGGACGATAGTTCTCCCCTCCCACCCACCTTGCGGTCTCTCCTGCCTCCTTCAGTTAAAATAGTAAAAAATAAGATTTAAAAATTCCTCCCTCTGGAAAAAGTGCTTGACATAGGTCATTGTATACAGTTTTAGCATACACTCACCGAGCCACCATCTTTGATTATAATTTTCTTAGCCAGTAAAACGCTACGATTGACCCTCTTCTTCTTCTTACCTTGAGTCATCTTCACATCACTGAAAACAAGTTCTCACTCACCTTGACAAGAAACAGGATATAATCACAAAAATTATCAGAATGATAATTGTATTCAAAGAAAGTATATTGGAAATAGCTGATTGTTCACTGGTAAGTGCATAAATGATAAACAAAATCAACATAATGAGACACCAATCCAGAAACAATAAGACTAAAACGCAGTTAAGTTCTATGTTATGAAAATAAAAGTATTGCCATACACTAATCACGGAAATATAGAAATTAATAAAAACAATGGCAAAATGTAGTCAATAATATCTAATCTGGATAAAATAAAAAAAACTCCAACTCATCTATAATCTCAGCCTCACTTTTGCAGTTCAAATTTCAACTCACAAATTATGTCAACAGAAAAAAAAGCAAAAAGTTGGTCCATTAAGGACACTAGTGTCATTAAACGTTTGAAAGGCAGAGTGAGTCGCAGGCACGAGAAACAGAAACTGACATGCTGAGAGCGGATATCTACATACCCTATATAAAAATAAAAAAACCACTTGATAAAGCCTTGTGTATTTGGACTACCCTGGCATTTCACTTATTATGAAGTACAAGGTGTCAAGCTAGAACATAGCATGAAAATAAGTTTGCAACACAACAAAAACTATTTTCAGTTTCTTTCTTCTTTTTCACCAAGAAACAATGCATACAAACAAAAAACCTTTAAAAACTAAAAACAATGACTGCATGGCCTACATTTCAAAGAATTATCATCACGAAACAGCGACTAAAGTCAAATGCAAGGACCTCTCAACACATACCCAGATTCAAACAGGACATTAGAGAAACAGGACACAAACAAGCAGAATGAAGGACCTACATCTACAAAAACAAAATCCTCTCCTTGGAAAATGTGGATCATGACAGCTGGGCTGACAAGTGGGGACAGAGGAACACAAACAAGCCCCCCCCCTCCCCCCAGCTCTGTATATAACAAGCCCCATTCCTCCCCAGCTCTGTATATAACAAGCCCCCATTCCTCCCAGCTCTGTATATAACAAGCCCCATTCCCCAGCTCTGTATATAACAAGCCCATTCCCTCCCCAGCTCTGTATATAACAAGCCCCATTCCCTCCCCAGCTCTGTATATAACAAGCCCCATTCCTTCCCCAGCTCTGTATATAACAAGCCCCATTCCCTTCCCCAGCTCTGTATATATATAACAAGCCCCATTCCCTCCCCAGCTCTGTATATAACAAGCCCCATTCCTCCCCCCAGCTCTGTATATAACAAGCCCCATTCCCCTCTGTATATAACAAGCCCCATTCCTTCCCCCCACACCCCAGTATTCTACCCACCGCTCTCTGACGCCGCTTACCTGTCTGTCTATCCCTGTCCTCCATCCTATTTCCGCCAGACATGCTCCCACACCCCAGGCGCCCCTCTATACCCTCTCCTGGTTACTGATTATCTCTCCCAGCCCCCGCTCTCCATATTCGGCCCCTTCCCATTGAAACTACCCACAACCTACCCCTCTCTTTCCTTCTTTCCGTGCTAGCACTCTCTCAGTCCTCCGCCATGTTGTGCACCCGCTACCTTCTCACGTCAAATCGCGCGACCCGCCCATTGGATGCCGACGATACCACGTGTCCCTGACTAACATCCGCCCTGGAGCCCGCAGCACGTGCCACGGAGCGTGCCGGTGAGTCCGCCGCGGCCATTTTGGAAATGGGCAAACAGTGTGTCGTCAGGACACTGAATAGCGATGAGGGAGAGAGAGGCCTGGTAAAACCAGGAGATACTCATCTAGTACACGAACTGTAGGGCCACGTGAATATTCAACGTCATCCTACCTCCCATCATGTCAAATGGACACAGAGGGACACTTTAATGGTAGGGGTGTGAGGACAGGAGTCTGCAAAATTCCGTTCAAGGAATTCTCAATGAGGTGGGAACCTGGGCGCAGTCTGGTCCTTCAGTTTTTAACCTTGCAGTTCAAAACAATTACCAGATTTTACTAATTCCATGATGTAAAGTCAAGATTTTATAAAGGGCACAGAGGCGAGTATTATGCTTAATCCCTTACTTTATTCCTCAGCAGCAAAAGAAAGGATATTGCAGATATTCAACGAAAAATTCAATAACAAAACATCATTTACCCCAAAGGTTTAACCACATATAACATGTTATCCAATGAGAGTGTTCCTAGCACAATAATGCCCCATGTGACCCTAAACACTCCTCGTTCTTGATGTTGCCAACGACCACTCGAACAGACAGAAGAACATAGAATCCAATAAATGTGCAGAGCAGCGACTCCAGGAAAATACAGCAAACGTGATACCGGAGAAACTGACGGAAGCAAAGCACAGAGGGATGGACACAGGTTTCTTCAGGAAGGAAGAGATTCTTTATTGGATCACCGATCGGGACTCAGAGGGACTAATGTCACCAAAAATACAGCAAGTTCTGAGCCCTGAACAATAGTGCAGGCTCCCTATATAGGCACATAACTCCTCCCATATTAAGCTCCACCCGCACATTCTCTTGACCAATCATTACAAATAAGAATTAACTTCCTGCTTGACCGCATGGCTTGTCCAGCACAATGGAGGAGGGGAATACTACATCCTGTATTCTTGCACATGCTCCGTACACTACTGATCGTATCTTGCCTCGTGCAACCAACTGATCGATACGTCAGCATATGCACGTACACATGCCACGTGGTAATCTCGGCCTACTAAATTTATTTTTACCGAGATTCCACCACATTCCCCCCTTTGATGCCTCTTGATATTTTACAATTACTTGAGGCATCACTTAACCTTGGTTTGCATACACCACAAGTTACCTTTGAACCAGACCAGACTTATCCTATGATGTGAATCTTCAACACTCGTCTTCCTGCATTGGTTCTCCCTGATCTAGAGCCTTATATTTATAAATTGCCATTATCTGTGCAGCAGCCTTCCTCTCTGCTATATTTTCTATCAGGCTTTGCACAGACCTAACTACTAAGGGTATAAGACACGGCAGGAGTAGACACAACATTAAAATCAGTAGGACTCCACCTACCACTGCCTTAAGCCCTCCAAACCACTCATACCAGCTACCAAACCAACTACTTGGATTGTACCCTTTCCATACCTGAGTAGGCACATGCGCTAGTTTAACCATATGGTTAGTAAGCTCAGCTATTGCTTGCCCTTTGTCATCTATTTGAAGACAGCAATTGCTCAGGTTAAACTTCCCACATACACCTCCCTCTACTGCCAAAAGATAATCCAAGGCTAATCTATTTTGGTAAACTGCTGTTCTCATCCTGGTATTATGCTTCGCTAGAAGATTGAGCGCTTGTGATGTCTCGTTAGTAATGATCTCAACCACCGCCTGTAACCTTATAATGCGGTTGAGCATATAAATAGGGGTTCTATAACCAAAGGTACCATCCTCTGCCCACGTGGCTGGCCCATAATAATCTATAATACGCTGGGGAGGCCATTCATTATCTTCCCAGGCACCTATCTCTATGGGTCCCCTTTTCTTCCTATGATTCACATCATACACTTTAACACCTAAAGTCTCACCTGTTTCAATAGGCAACAAGAAGAAGGATGGTTTTAACATACCCAACACACATGCCCCTTCCCAGTCCTGTGGTAACTCCGAATAGGCCTTCTTACCACAGATCCAGTACAAATTCGCTGGGGCTCTCCAGTTAGATGTGATGGATAGATCAAACCATACGTCCTTTAAATTGGCATATCTTGCAAACGGGTTAGATGGTTCTGAGACATTTGAAGCCGACCACCAAGTTGTATTCTTTGTATCATCATCATAAGCTTTTTGCCCTAGACAAGTTAATTCTCCTACAGAAGTATTATACATCATTCCTTTCCTCGCTATGCAAACATAACCTATGATGGAGGTCTTCAATCTCCACTCAGATTTACCTCTAACATTCATATGATAGTCGGCTTGTGTAGATATTAATTGGTCAACTGCCTCAGAACCGGACATTACCTCCTTTGCTTCCCAAGGCCATTGGTCTCCCATGTTAGTACCTCCACACACATAGCAGTTGGTAACATTAAGACTACCGGCAATACTCTCGGCTAAATCAATGAACAAGTTTTTAGCATTATGGGGGATCTTATTATCTATGCTCATCTCTTCATAAAAGGAATGGTATACTTGATGAGTTTGGGAGGTTACCGTATCAGTCTCTATCCCTATAAACAATATTGTCCCAGGGTCTAAACCCGTCCCATATATTTGAAACCCAAATAAATTACCATATTTATCTAAGAACTTGTCAGGGTTATTTATAAGTATATGGATTGGATTGCATTCCATAGACTTACAATATGGATTAGTAGGCAACTTAGTCACAATCATGTCCTTGTCTGCTGTCTGTCCCCAAGTCGCCCACCCCACACAAGACCAATATGGGCAGAAGTTATAATCTCTATTTGGGCATCTTGGACTTACATATTTATTTTTACTACTGGGACAAATATATTTATCGTTAGACCCATACGTCCTCTCCCATCTAAGATCCCCACATACATTCCACGGCTTTCTACCACTTGATATTGCTTTACACGCATCAAATAGCAGAGCACCTGAAGAATATACGGATTCTAATACCGTCTTATTAATTAGGGTCCCCTGAGGATCTCCATTTCTGAGAGTCAACCAAATTGTACGGGGTTGATACTCAGGACTGAAGCACTTAGGTTCTCCTACTCCTAAATGACACACACTATATTCTATATTTAAGTATCTACATCTTGATACATCTCCTTTACACTCATATTGCGAATGCCAAATTAGGGTCTGGGATATATGGTTACCTGTTCTTGTAGTCTTAATGCATACCTCACAGCTAGGAGTGTTGGTACCTCTACCTTCCTGAATATAAAAATACACATAAATAAACATTATTAAAAATACATCTTTCGTCGTCATCCTCAGTCTTCGTCCGTGTGAAGGCACCTCAGCTTCCAGGATGTAAGGACTGCAGGGAATGGAGTTCTGCTCGTCTTCACAGGGGTCCCCTCAAGACTTTTCCTGACTTATACACTCGTTGGTGAGTGGACAGGCTTTATTATGGCCTTCTCACTCACTTACCAAGTCTCTGAAACAATAAAATTTGTAATCTACAAGATTCCTCGTCACTCCGACTGAGTCGTGCGTTTTAACCGGATCTTGCAGGGATTCTCTGGATTTGCTGTAACTTGCCAGGAATCGGCTGCTGCTGGTTTAACCCTGGAGTGATGTATCCACGGAGCCACTTCGGCTACTTTTATCGCTGTAGGGGTAGACAGAAGAACAACATAAGGACCTCTCCACTTGGGCCCTAACGGCACATTATTCCACTCTTTAATCCACACTTGGTCGCCTGGGTGGTAACTATGAATTGGGGGATAAATATTCACAGGTAATCTATCTTGTACCCATTTCTGTACCTCCTCCATAGTCTTACCCAACTCTACAACCTGCTGCCGGGTAATTCCTTCTCCCAACTGACTCAAATCCCCCCTTAAGTTACCAAGCACGGGAGGTGGTCGCCCGTACATGATTTCAAAAGGAGAGAGGCCCATCCTTCTGGTAGGTGTACTACGGATTCGCAATAGAGCTATGGGCAAGAGAACGTTCCACTTAAGTTGGGTTTCCTGACACATTTTAGCCAACTGATTCTTAATAGTTCTATTCATTCTCTCTACCTTACCAGAACTCTGGGGTCTATATGCCGTATGAAGCCTCCACTTTATACCAAGCATATGAGTCAGTTGTTGTAAGCACTGATGAACAAAAGCTGGACCATTGTCCGATCCTATAGAGCAGGGTAGTCCATATCGGGGTATTATTTCTCGTAGCAGGAATCTCACGACTTCTCCTGCTTTCTCTGTACGAGTAGGACATGCTTCTACCCAGCCTGAATAGGTGCACACCACTACCAGCGGGTAGCGATGTCCACCCGATTTAGGCATCACTGTATAGTCAATTTGTAAATCGGACATGGGAAGTCCCCCCATAAACTGGACTCCTGGTGGCTTTACTGGTCCTTGTCTTGCATTATTTTTAGCACACGTTACACATCTACGTACAATGGCCTGAGTCAAGTTGGACAATCTTGGTATGTAGAAATGTTTTCTGAGAGATTCTTCTGTACTGTCTCTCCCAGAATGTGTCCCGTTATGATAGTTTTGGACAATTTCTACCGCTAGTGATGCTGGAATAACTATTCTTCCATCTTCTAACTGATACCATTTGTTCTCCAAATACTTTCCAGGTTCGGTCCTTAACCACTCCTCTTCTTGAGCTGTATAAATTGGAGTCCATTGAGACAGTGGAGTTGGTATAAGAGCAGCTATATGCCCCACATATTCCTGTCTTCCTGATTCAGCAGCACGCTTAGCTGCACTATCTGCCATCCGATTCCCTTTGGTTACATCACCATCTCCTCTCAGATGCGCCCGACAATGTATAATACCGACTTCTTTCGGCTCCCACACTGCTTCCAATAGTTGTAGGATCTCAGCTGCGTATTTGATTTCTTTGCCTTCTGAATTCAATAGTCCTCTTTCTTTATACAAAGCTCCGTGGGCATGAGTGGTT